TTCATAGTAAGCATTCTTCTAGATATAAGTACAAATATGTCAAATTAAATCACGTGTAATGAACATAGAACCCAACACAGATGTGCGTTAGCCCAGAATATATCACATTAGCAAGATGAGACAAAAGTAACAAGATGAACAGTAAAGGAGCCTCAGTAATATAGCAGCTATAATAATGGGACAGATTAAGGATTGAGAATATGGTTCCTTAAGATAGGAAAGATGCGATTGAATACCGGAGTCCAGGACCTACGGTTAGGTAAAGAATAAATTTACCTGTGCCGTTGTGGCAATCTCTGAGACATATAACATGACGTCTCTAACCACTGATATATTCCATCACTTGGATTCCGGCCAACATATCTCAAACTTAACCAATGACTTGGTGGACTGATGCAACGTCTTAGTTTGGCATTGTGTAGTAAATTCTTGGATGCAAGCAGAGCCATTCAAATTATATTCATACCATACTAAGGTATATAGTGTAAGGTCTGAAACGTTTTCGGGAAATCTTCAAACTAGCGAAATATAGTTGACTGAAAGATATATCGTAACAACTCCAGCAGCTTGTTTTAAAATTATAGTTAGTGAACTGATCTAGGACGGAGCTCGTGTCGCTGTTTAATGTCTCGTGCAGTATCTTGTGAAGCATCTTCAGTTTACCATATTAATCTATTTGTTTTGTTTTTCATTACGAATGTTGGTATTTTGTGACAACATCCGTCCCAGGTCCTTACCTTATCTCTGTTTTTTAGTTGACTTAACTGTCTGAGAATATCAGTGATTAAATATCTTTAGAATCCTTGGAAATTGTACTTATTGTTGATCCTTTTCATTATTCAATGGTTTACTACCAAAACGAAGTCAGTCTAAATCTAACCTGGTTTTCAAAAGTTAGGCACCTAAACCTTAGCCAAATATCTGTATAATTTAATTTGCATTAAGTTTATTGACACCATTATAGACTAGAATAGAAAGTTGGCCAAACCGTTCTGTTAGCCATTCTTATGCATTTATCGTGTGTATGTACTAGATACTTAATAGTTAGTAAAATGATAATTGAATGATAAAGTAAGGTCTATCTAATCAATAATAATGTTAGCTTACTGTACATCAGTGAATAACCACACAATGACGAATGTCAGTCAAACTTGCCATTTTGTTCAGTTTACTCGAATGTATGACACGAACAAATAGCAAAAAAATGCGACCTACACATTCGTGGAATGAATCGAGAATATATGGTTGCTTTATCTGTCATTGAGAATTTCGTTTAAATCTTTTGATCTGATTTTTTCTATCTAGATTCTACCGAACAATAAAGAAGGTTGTTATAAATTATCACCTGATCGATTTTACTTCGTTATGCTACCGCATTGCGCTCCAGCTCTTCTAAATAATTTACTATTTACTAATTGGTCGCCTAGTATACTTTCCCGTGTGGTACTGTTCTCTAATGGATGGAAAGAGGCTCGCCAGGAGTTAATTGCTTCAGGTGCTTCAGATGGTCTGAAGATTGCTAAGGAACTAGCTTATATTACTGCTTTGGAGTCAGTGGTTCACAGTCCTGGAAAAGAACATTATCTAATTTGGTCTTCAAGAAATAAACTCAGGGAATACAGAGATTTTGAGGGTATGCGTGTGCAATGTTTTTCTCCTGTTGAAATGGATAGTTTACCAAAGAATGTATGGAATATGCCTCCTTATTCTGAAAAAACAGATAAGGAAATATCCTGTTCTAGTAAATTAACACAAAATAGTGAGATTTTTTCCGATATAATTGATGCTAATGTTGTACCAAATTTTATCGATTCCAACACTGATGGCTGAGAATTTGTTCAAATTTTCCAGAATTAGTAATGGTATTATCTTTCACCTTTTTCCTAATGATCTTCAGACTCATGAAGTAAATCCATCCTTATTTGCTGTTTATTTATGTACATTGTGATTTTACACTGCATTCCCATAGTACGCTTAATTACTGTACATATTTTAGTCTTTTTGGTAAATGGAATATTATTCTCCATACTGAGTGAATTTGAGTTTCAACTTTAATTACTAATTTGAGTGATTTTTTTCTTTTTGAGAGTTAAAATATACCTGTTTTGCCATTGCAAAAAAAGTGAGGACTAATTGCCTAAGAATATTTATTTTTTTTGCAAGACCAATTAGTAAAGCTGTACATTCGTATTAATAGTTATTTGGCAGGTAAAGTTTTTATTTATTTTAACACAACGTTGGTAAAGAAGGTACCAAATATATATGCTCCATACAATATAAATGAGGTTGTGTATAGATAATGGAGGGTATGATAAGAAGAAGGGCAATAATGAACAGAAATGTGTGAAAGTGAAATAACAATGGGCGAAACAGTTCAGTTAGGAGAAATACAACCAGAAAGAATCCTTTCAGTTAAAGAAGTTACATCCACTTTCATGATGAAAGTGGAAGAAAGTTAGCAGGATAGCCACTGGCTTCTATTCTGAGCTATGTCTTATAACATCTCAAGCGTTGTTATACCATCTCAAGGACCCCAACCAAGGAGTCGTGGTATAGTAGTTTATTATAAGATAGACAAAGACATTTTTCAAAAATTTCAAACATGCGAAAGAAGTTGAGCAGTAATTTAGAAGGTATCAGAAATTGTTGAGCGGGAATCATCTGTTGATGAGAAGAATTCGAGTTAATTATCCTCTTGACGAATATAAAGGTAAAAGGAAAACAAACCGGTATTAATAATGAATTATCGAGTAGAAAAGGGATTTTGGAAAACATGATTCAATTACAGGTCCGACTTGAGGCTTTTAAACTAAGTTCGTATTTGATTTTTTAAAAATTGATATACATCTTTTGCTGTACGCAATCTCCTATTTCATTTTTTGTTTCGTGTTATTACGCGACCGAAATTGGTATGTTTCGGAATTGGTATGCTAGTTGATTTGAATCTCCTATTTAATTTCTACGGTGAGAAATACTCAAAGGTATGGTTAAAAATGTGAGTTTAGTGCGCTTATGTTGAGGGAGTTGTTTCTCAACTGTGAGTCAAACTATTGTTGTCCGTGCCATAAAATCGACCATAGACTCGGTGGATATAAATGTATGTAACTTGTATGGAATGATCTATACTTCTGTTGAATACGGTTATTGTTCATATATTATTGCCAATTAATCGGTCAGACAAGCCTTTCAGTAGTCACGCGAAATAATAGGTAGTTGCTGGGTTCACTTAACTATGTCAATGTAATTAGCTGAACATTACATATTGTATCTAAACGACCATAGGGTTTTTGAGCGTTCCTTCTGAGTTTATATCACTTCACTGAGATTAAATGATTTGCAGTTATTTTGAGAATTAGGGGAATTTCGGTTTGCTAATTTTTGTGGTATTATTTACTTATCTGATAGTAACCGAAATTTATTTCAGCAAATGAAAGTCTGATTAGTGTCCCATCACTGCCGTATCCTTCAGGTCAAGGTCCCACTGAAATAACGCTACATTCGAAAATACCTGTGATGTCACAGACACTACTTTCTAGTCTAACAAGGTAACATAAGTAATTAAAGTTCTCGGTTTACATATCACGTCATAGAAATCATATTGTGTCAGATACTCATCGTTTTAGGAAAAAATATCTTGAAATCTAGTTATTTAGGTATGTACACCATCTTTTTGTTAAACACTATTCACAGGAGCCTTAGTATAGGCTTGTGTTCAAAAGATTGAGCAATGCAAATTCGATTTCCTTTCGTTGATGTATATGCATCTTAATGGAAATAAAAACTCTTGAATAAAAGTGCTATCAAATGTACACGGTAAAGCAGTTTTCGTGAGTAATACAGGAGACAAAGCGATGTGGAATTCAGTACAACATTCAGCATAATCACACGAATAAGACAGAAGAGATAAGAGAAATACTATAAGGCACCTAAGTTCTATAGTAACTCTAAACCATGTAATCTCGAAGGTCCTAATTAGACCCTACAATCTACATTATTTGGTTCCTGGGTGATGTTCGATGTCACTGTTGAGTCTGGCGACCTACTTTGTAGTGTAACCACTATGTTAAGTGGTTTGGTGTTGCATTGTACTTTGTTTTATGTTTAGTAGCTAGAAGCAGTCAACAAGAGTAAGTGAAATCAGTCTTCGTACTGATTGAAACTCATCATCGAGGTGTATTCCCGATCCTAAAGAAAGTGGTACTCTGCCAGTGCTGCAGTTAGAAGCCACCACAGCTATTCGCGGTACGAACTTTGTCAATGCAATTTTGTTGTAGTCGAGAGTTATGTAATATGGTACTGAGTGGCTGGTTGGTGAGTCATCTCAGTACTCACTTGAGCTCAGTTATCGCCCTGGTACGGCCGAGAATGGGGAGAGTTCACTCTCTCTCTCGAAATGCTCTCACATGGCCACGCGTATACAGCTTCTTTCAGGCTCGGGGTGTGACCCCCTAAGAAAACCACCTGCTTCGGTTTGGGCACCCGGACAGTATCACAGCCCTCACACATGTCGAATGAGATCTATGTGGCGCATATGTATTTGGTGCCCTCTTGTACCAATATCCATGTGTTAAAATAAAATAAAAATAAATATATCAGTGATAATGGTCTCTAGGTTCTGTTTCTATTATTTGCAGAAGGATCCAGTTATTTTTAGTGTTGATGCACCTTAGCGATCAGCGACGATCATCATAAAACCTTATTTTAGGTCTACTGTTTGATTTCTTTTACCACCCAATAACACGATCTAAAATAAAACTGTGGAGCAGTGTCTTGGTGCCTAATGCATTCAACTTTCAGTCACAATTCTCAGGTTCTAACCTCTATCTACTTCACCTTGAACGTCCGGGTACTAAAATTAGCGCTCACACTTAGAGTGTACCTCATGACCAATTACATGATGAATGAGTTTGTTGGAAAAACGCTATTACTAACAAATTGGTGTAATCACTGATTACTCTGTATTAAGGCAAGAAAATTCCAATACTATATCGCTTTTTGTGCTTATGTATTTGTTTTTATGAAAACTAACTAAATTCTAGCTTGATTTCAATATAAAATTGAATTAATGTGGGTTTATAATTGGAGTTAATAAAAATGAGTTGGATAATAATGAGATGTATATGATAAGGATTTGACATCAGGACAGAACGTAAACTGGTTCTGAATGTCGGTTTAACAATGTTGTCTGTAAGTAGAATGAATCAATTGTTTAACTTGTACTTTAACTGATCGACAAAATGGTCGAATCAAGTATTTAACCGACATCATCGTAACTTCCAGTATCCAATAGTGTTTCCATTGTTTGTATTGATAGCTTTTGCATGATTTGATGCAATTGATAATTGAACCATTCCAATTTTTTGTAGATTATATTCAGTCTAAATTATAGAAAATAAATAAATAACTGACAAAAATTTAATTCCAATGACATTTTTAATTGAGATGTGCAATTATCATTTAAACAATATTTGCTTACATTTATACCTGAATTGTTCTATTTCACTTAATAGTTTATACTAAGAGTGTACAGACTTGAATTAGTTAGTGAATTAAGCTTCTGACTGTTGTTTGGTAGCATGTCAAGTTACCTTACTGTCACTAGTATAAATTCTTGGACATGTAATGCATCAGATCCCAATGTTTATTTAAGTGATATATTTACCCCGAAATAGGTCTAAATTTAGTTAATTTTACCGACCTGAATCAGTGCACCATGTGAAATATAGAACCTGGTGCAAATACACATCGATCCACGCCACTTTTCAAATTAGGATAGCAAGCGTAAGATAGTAAAATTATAACGGAATGGAATACAGAAGTGTCGATTATATTAGAAAAAACACAGTTTGGGAAGAGCGAATTAAATTGAGGAATGAGAATTCTAATTTAACGGTAAAACTTAATATTTAAAATAAGATAAGGAGATGATGAGTCTACATCACTTTGAGTGATTTGATCTATATCATTTAGTGTTGCCTACCAAAGGGATACGTTCAGTGATCCTACACTTTCGAAAACGAATAAGACCAATAACTCTATAAACTGGTGGTACGCTTTGGTCTAGTCTTCTTTAGCCTTTTCACATTATCTCCCTATGCTAGAATTATCATCCTAACTTTAAGCGAATAAAATATGGATGATGACCGTCTTGAAATATTAAAAGTATTCTAGAGGTATAAAAAATAAAACACTTTACTACGTACCGTTGATTTAAAAGTTCGACAGTTTTGTTTAGTTCTTGTCTAGAACGCTCGTACTTTTAATAAATTAAAATAAAAAGTAGAATTATTTGGTTATCTGATTTATCGTATAAAGATCTTTACTAATGGTAATATTAATACTAACAATGTTAGGAAAGATAATGATTGTCTAGTTGATTTTACTTAAGTTAGTTTACTCTGAAGATACTTTTTGTCATGAAGTGATGTAAGCTAAAAGTCCATTGAAAATCAGGCAGGACCGTTTAAACGTGCCATCCTAGCTTGGTATGCATCCGTAATCCCGATAGGGATGTTTGGGTCGTATATTTGCAAGTACTTTAGTTCTAAATCCTATCATGAATAGAGAACCAATTACATCGCTTCAAACTTGGATGATAAGTCCAAGAAGTTTGATATGAGAATTGGATAGAAAGAGGCGGGACTATCTATGAGACTTAGTCACTATAAATACTTAGTGACATAAATATTATTTTAAGCCCATTTATTCAGTTGAAAAGTGAATCAGTCAAGTGTCAGACTTGTTCGTTTCAAGCTGAGTTAGCATAAAAAAATACTATGGTTGATTAGCAAATTACTGAATACATCGTTTAAAAAGTTTTACTGAATAAAATCTTAAAACGAATATCTACTAGCTGGAAGTATCTTCGTTTAGAACTTATTGAAAGAGACAAAAACCGAATTACTCTTGGTAAATTTGGTCTAGCTGGTTTCAATAACCATTTTTGAACACAAACTTTAGCGTATAACCAACGTGGGAGATTCGCTTCTAAACTATCTAACCAGTAAACTTGTCGATAGATTAGTTCTTGTGCAGCACTTCTTCTAGCCTTGTCAATATCACCAACTGCTAAACCAATCTAACAAGTAAAATAAAGAGGCATAAAAGAAACAAAAAAACCGATACAGTAAGATCATTAAAATAACTTTTTAATATTACTGTTGATTTATTAGTAGTATTGTTTAAAACAAGTAATAAACAAAGACTGATCTACTAGGTTCATCATGTTAAACTATGTGGAATTTAACATGTTTAGTCCTTCTAATAAGTCTAAAGGCTGCAGTGAGTAGATGAGATATTTCATGACTACAGAATATGTAGATCCCTTTTGAATAACTTGTCTGATGGTTGGTTGTAAACTTGTTAAGATATTTATGTGAAAGGCGAAACGGTAAGTTAAGCTGAGTGATCTAATAAATACTTACGTAGTGTTTATGAAAAGTTGGTATAATGAAGAATATGTGAGGATATTAGTCATGTCTCAATTCTAATTATTAGTTTATGACTTTAGAAATCTGATTCCCATTAACCCTTAGTGGATCTTAATCAGCCTTTGGAATGTTTGGATTATGACTGTACAAATAATGAGGACAATGTTTAGCTTCACTTGTAAGTGCTTGTTAAACTGATATAGGCTTTAGAAACAACTGGCTTTGAGACACTGCCTTTTAAATCATAGTTATCAGTAAACAGAACGTTGACATTATTAATAACATTTCGAGATTATTACACTATATAGACAATTGACAGTGTATGTAAACTATTGTATTCTCACTCAATGAACTAAAGTTATTGTGCTCCTCGAGGGTTTTAGAGATACTAGTTTCAATTTTGTGTCAGGTCGGTTGTATGAATTTCTGAGAAGTACTAAAGTAGAATGAAATCGTGGCCTAATGCTTAGTGGTTGTCAAAACTTCTTCAGCTAATTTAAGTTTGTAATGAAAACTACTTTCATATGAATACTTATCATTTTAATTTTATATAGTTACTTACGCTTGTTACTCCTCGTGGAGGAGCATAGGCTACCCACCAGCACTCTCCATCCATCTCTGTACCGGGCAATCTTTTGCAGCTTTTTACAATTGATATTCAGAATTTTTATGTATGCTTCCGATTCCCGGTGCAGTGTGTTCTTCGGCCTTCCACTTTTCCATTTCCCTTCACGATTCCAAGTTAGCACATGCCTCGTGATGCAGTTTGGTGATTTCCTCAATGTATGTCCTATCCACTTCCAACATCTTTTCCTAATTTCCTATTCGTCAAGAAGTTGGTTTGTTCTCTCACACAGTAGATTGTTGCTGATGGTATCCGGTGAACGGACATTCGGTATTTTGCATAACAAATCATTTATGAATACTTGTACTTTTTTATTGATGATTGTAGTAGTTCTCCAAGTTTTATCTCTATACATTATGACTGTCTCGACGTTCGTATTGAATATTCTGATTTTGATGTTGTTTGACAGCTGTCCAATGCTTTTTTAGCTTACGTTTTATCATGGCAACCACCGGGTGGTGATCTGAAGCTATGTCAGCTTCTCTCGTGGTTCTCATATCTTCCATTGACCTTGTGAATCTTTTATTGATGCAAATATGATCTATCTGGTGTGATCTGGTGAGACCCATGTAGCTGTGTGTGCGTTTGTGTGAGAATATTGTGCCACCTATAACCAAGTTGTTGAATGTACATAGGTTTACGAATCCATCTGTGGTGTTTGAATGAACTGATGATTCCTTTGTATTTGTTGAATGCTTGATTTCGAATTCCAAATACAGTACATTCGTTCGTGCTTATCTAGTACTTCTTGATCCGATTACATTATTTCTGGGATTCTTAGTTCGTACTATGATTCAAATACTTCTAATCATCATAATATCCTCATTTTCGTTTTTCTCCCCCACTCAGTCCATTTCATCCCAACTTTGGCGTTCAGGTCTCCCATCAGGATGGTGAGGTCTTTTCTTGGGCACTTTGCTGTGATTGATTCCAGCTTCTTATAGTTTATTTATCTATTTGAACACATAAATATTGGTACAAGAGGGCACCAAATATATATGCGCCACACAAAACAATGAGAATGGGAAGAGAAGAAAAGACAAGGTAAGGAGCATAAAAGAAAAAAAGAAGAACAATAACGACCAGATTAGTGTAATAATATTACTAATAATAATAGTAATGATAATGATAATAATAATAACAATGATGGGGGAAACGGAAAGGTACAACCAGAAGAAATCTTCCAGTTAAGGAAGATACAACCACTTTTTATGAAGAAATTTAAAAAAGTTCACAGCACAATCGCCACTGGCTTCTATTCTGAGCCATATCTGATAACGTCTCTAGCCACTGTGTCTCATTATCTCTCAGACCCCAGCCAGAGAGCCATTAAGGACTAACAGAAGCCAGCCCTTTGCAGCTTTCTTTCATACCATGACACCATGTCATACATTGACCACCTCTCCGCTTTTTCCAACCAGTCCCAGAGTCGGCAAATAATACACGACGTGGAATTCTCTGGGACGACATTCGTAGAACATGTCCAAGCTACCGAAGTCGGTGTTTCAAGATGGTGACACCAACTGAATTATCATCTCTGTGCCCGAACACACGATGCCGAACCGCTGCATTACTGACATGGTGTTGCCACTGGATGTCAGCAATCCTTCGGAAACAACGATGATCGAACACAGAGAGTCGTCTAACATCCTCAACTCGGAGAGGCCAGGTTTCACAAGCATAGAGCAAGACTGCTCTCACCGACGCGTTGTAGATCCGACATTTCACAGCCAGAATGGCATCACGAAGGCGCCAAAGATGGCCCAGATTGGCATAAGCCGCTCTGGCTTTCACTATTCGTGCATTGATCTCATCACTCACGCCACCACCAGCACTTATGCAGCTACCCAGATACACGAACTTCTCGACTACTTCTAACTGCTCACCATCCAGGGTGAGTACAGGATTAGAATCCTGGCAATCTTGTAGAAGTACTTTATCTCACAGTAAGACAATATCATCCTCATACTCAATGTCGAGAAATCTTTCTTCAGGCAATAGATTCACACCGCAATTACTTACATCCATCAGGGCTGTTTCCAGAATGTCATCGATGGCAAAGTTGAAGAGGAATGGTGAGATTGGGCAACCCCGCCTAACCCCACTGCTTGAATGGAACAATGGAGAAAGGTGGTTATATGCCCCCACTGTACCTGAGGTGTTTGTATATAGGGCCTTTAGGATGTTAATAAACTTCTCAGGCACACCCTTCTTCAATAGACAATCCCAGAGAACAGTCCTGTCCAACGAATCGAAAGCAGCACTGATGTCAAGAAACACTACGATTGTTGGCCTTTGATAAGTATGACGGTGTCCTAACATTTGGCGGAGGGTGAGGATATGATCAATACATCCTCGACCAGAACGAAACCCAGCCTGCTCCTCGCGAGTCAATCTTTCTCGGGTTTTGAACAACCTACGAAGTATGACGGAAGTCAATAGCTTGGACGCAATCGGAAGTAGACTTATCTCCCGATAGTTGTTACAGAAACGACGTGAACCCGTTTTAAAGATAGGGACAACTATCGACTCCTTCTATGATGTTGGAAAACTCTCTAGCCCCCAGACTGTTGTAACGGATGGATTGCACGGTTTGATAAGCAGCGTTCATATCGATCGATTACAGTGACACGGAAAACACGTAAGGACGACCTAGAGTCCCGATTGGTCCCGCTTCCCTGTCTAGCCCAGCCAGTTGAGTCCAGAACGCAAGTCACAGCCTCTGAGTTATGAATCGTTGTATTTCAAACATACTCTGTTTATATACCAACCAAACAGACCACATCGTACCATAAAAATAGAAAACAACATCTGTACAATATTTAACGAGTGAAATAAATAATGGCCAATAGGGAATGCCCATTTAGAGTCCAAGAACATCATTAGACTTAACATGATAATGATTGGTATATTCCTCAGCACACCTAACACAGACCTTTGTAAGCAACACAGTCAGTTCCTTAGCCAGAAAGTCACCACCGTCTTTAGAAAGAGCCGAAGGCAAGTTATCTGGGCCCGGTGATTTGTAGCGCTTCAAGAGTTGGAGTTCCTTGTGGACTTCCGCCTCATTTGGTGTATCAGTCGTCACCGGCCATGGAGGGTAGGACAGTCTGATTGATGTTGCCGAAGCAGTATGCCAGTTGAATTGCCCTTCGAAGAATTCTGTCAATCGTCCAAGACGTCGACGGATGTTGGTGATTGGCGTCCCGTCATCCTTGCAGATTGTTTCGCCCACACCAGATTTCTTGCTGCCAGTGGCTCGGACGAGTTGAAAGAGGTTCCGGTAGTTACCAGATGCAGCTGCTGCTTCCAGCTCATTAGCATACTCGACCACCAGGCTTCTCGGTCCTTACGCAAGCTTTGCCCAATTTCCTTACGTAACATCCTTCGTTTATGGTCAAACTCACGGTCACCCGGAGTAGACCGACGGGCTTCAATGAGTTGTAAGGAACCAGAAGAAACCCAGTGCTTAAAAGCGGGACGTTTCGCAAACCCACAACTGACTGTTCCCGCCATTTTCATGGCGTCATGCAATTGCAACCAATGCTCATCTATACTTTTCGGTGGAGTGGTAGCTAGCCTAGAGGCTAGCTCGGTTCGATACTTACTTGCAACAGAAGTTGCAACCAGCTTGCTAACATCAATCCGTTGGTGGGGTCACTTCGTTGTCCACTGAAAAGTAAGGTAAGATTGGCGCAGACCAAGGCATGGTCAGAGTCCAGATAGGTACTCCAAAAGGAGCGGCAGTCTTGTACACAACCACGCCAGCGGTAGCTGATCGCGATGTGATCAATCTGAGTCCAGGCTTGAGATGCAGAGGGAGGACGCCAGGTGGCACATCGGCGATGACTGTGCCGAAAGTTAGTGCTAGCCAGAAACAGGTTGTGGTCTGTGCACAGTTGCAGTAGACGGTCCCCGTTATCTGACCTGCGACCAACAAGTCCCCATCGGCCACCTAAACGACTCTCTTCTGTGCCTAGACGCCCGACCTGAGCATTCAAGTCTCCGGCTAGTACTACAATATCTGTCGAACGCACTTTCTGGAGAAGAACAGATAACTGGTGGTAAAACTCATCCTTGATTGCATCCGGGCTGCAATCTGTCGGGGCATAGGCGGAGATGACGAAAAGACATCGTTTCTCACGCCGATTTCTTCTCACTTTGATGGAACTTTCTAATCTAACAGCACATAACCGACTGTTAATGGGGATCCAATCGACTAGTGCTGCCTCAGCTCTAGCGCTTAGTGCGACACCAACGCCAGCAAGACCAGACGAAGATGCCACAGGGTCCCCGGATAAGCGCACGTAAAACAAGCTTTTTGAAGCGACAGATGGAGATCGAATTTGTAGTACTTCACCAGAGTCTTGAATACGGGTCTCGGATAGACAACAAACGTCGATATTAAAACTTTCCAAAGACATAGCCAGCCCTATCTGTTGTCCGACCTGCATAAGTGTGCGAACGTTGAAGGAAGCCAGTTTGAATGGTGCACGTGGTTTCAGAAAAACTTTTTCAGCATTCGTATTCAACGGTAGCATACAATTTTTAACCAGACAGTGACTCGAGAACGTTAGATAGAGCCAAATTTCAACCATAGGCGAGCTGCTGTATAAGTCAAAAAGTAAGGATACATATAGTGGAAATGAAAGAGAGTGAATAAATGACGCAGTAAATAATAATAACAGTAATAATAATATTACTAATAATAATGTGAATTGTTTGACTGTAAATCGAAGCGAGAATAGAATTTTCAGTAAATACCGTCATTTTCATTTTATTTGTGTAGGCTGTGACACTGCCCTTGTGCCCAAATAGAAGCAGGTGGTTTTCTTGGGGGCCACACCCCGAGCCTTTGACCTAAAGGTCTGACCCACAAGGCAGCGGAGCATCATGAGAAGATGCAGTCCCATGGTAGCCGGTGACCAACGATTGGTTCATACACCATTTGTGCCCTCCGGATACTGGAGCCCATGTGCGCCGTCTGTTTGGGATCCAAATAAAGCATCAGACATTTGCTTTTCGTCTTCTCAGTTTCGTAAAAAGCACCCCCACCACGAGAAGGCAGTGAGTAGGACTTTCCCGACAGAGGCTGTATAGACGTGGCTGTGTTAGAGCATTTCGAGAGGGAGGGCGGGCCCAACCCACTCTCGGCCATCCCAGGGAATTTGGGGGCTTCTCATAGAACTGGTTTTTATTGTCGTCGTTGTGGTGTGTGCATATCACTGGATAATATATATTGTGATTTCCTTTCTCTTTGTTTTTAATGATGCTTTGATGATCCTGGATCCATGAGATTCCCATCCTATGAGTGCTTTACTTGATTCTTTGAATAGCATCGGAGCAACTCTCTGAGTGTGTGGAGCATTTTCCTCTTCTCGACCAGAGTACATCATTATCTCTCCTGTATCTAACCTTTTCTGTCCAGCTTGGGCCTAATAGGTTTCACTGATTCCCAGTACTGCCAGATTGTATCTCCTCATTTCCGTTGCTATTTGAATAATCATTCCGGTCTCCCATATTGTCCGGACGTTCCATGTTCCTATAAAAATTATTGCTCTGGTTGTTATAAGGAGCATCGGCCTTTTGACATTCGAAGAGTCTCGGCTTTTATTCTGAAGTATCATACTTCTTTTTGAACTCGGAGGGTAGAGTTTAAATGGTTTAATAATTTCAATCTGATTGGCGTTTTTTGCAAGATTTTCTTCTATGAGATGGCGTCGCCAACTCCATTCTCAACCCTCCTCCTTTACCCGGGCTTGGAATCGACAGCAACTCTATAAGAGCTACTGGCAGAGTTTAATTTCGTATGGTCACATATGAAAACATAACGTATATTTATTTAAATTACGACCTTACTTTCTAAATAATATGCTCATTAGGACGACTGGTCGTGCTACAAAACTTTCTCTTAATAATAGATATTATATAAGGAATGGAGAGTGAAATAAAGTAGCTTATTTTGATTAGAATTATTCGGAGACATTGGTTTATCACTTAGTAGTAGCCAACGTCATGTTTGCCTAGTCCTTACTGCTGACCGAATTATATTTATTAAGTTGGAATATAGCCACTCGTCTAAGTGACTTGACATCGAGTGGACCATGTTTTGTGTTAGATGAAGAACTCGATAGTCAAGTTATGATACAAAGAGAGGTTACTTATGTATCCCGCTGAAGTTAAGTCAAAAACTGATAAGCTGTTATTTTGTGGATTAAGTAACAAAAAGTCAACAGTTTAAATCTATTATATATATATATATATATATATATATATATATATATATATATATATATATATATATATATATATATATATATATATATATATATATATATATATATATATATATATATAATATTAAACAATTACTTACCGTCAAGCTGATCAGTGTTATTGGTATTAAAATAATAAATGCTATATAAAAGATGAAAGTCAATTTTGGATAAGGTATTGCAGATACTTGATCCTCTAAATATGACTGAATAATAATTTTTGTACGCTTATATTCACCCATCATCATCATTAATGTATCGAAAAATGTTAGTCCAATATCGCTAAGCATATTGAATTGTCTTCTATTTATTTTTGTTATATTATTCATTGAATGGTTTAGTGAACTTGGATACTCAATGAAACAGTTACGGAATTGTATTTTATTATTGTCAGATAAAGAAGTGAACACCTGAGTAATAAACAGAAATAGAGAGGAAATAAAACGTATGCATTTAGCTATCAATACATGAAATTGTTCAGCAAATAAGAATGGTTCACTTCAAGTGTATGGGTATTAAATCTCTCTACTAGAAATATGTCAGAATAGTAGTTTTGATATTAATGATCCAAATGTATTGTTAACTTTGAGACATTAATTACAGTGTATAAATCTTGGTATGACTTTTAAAAGACTATGATTACTTTGTAGTTCAATATTTGGTTCTTATCATATTGTTTCAATAACTTCTTTCACTTTTCCACTGTTATTTACAGTATCAAGGAGAAGTGAGAAGAGAACAGCATGAAATTTGAATAGTTACTCTTTAGATAATTAGTTTGTACATTTTTAACAAGTATTTAACAAATGAACATTTTTATGATATCATCCTAAGTCATTCTAATTTCAAGATTTCTTTCATAAAATTGAAGATTGTTATATCTCTTACTAAACGAATGTAAAATTCGACTATATGAAAAGTCTTATAACCATTCGTTTCACCTACTACTGTTATTGTTGAAAATTTGAGAAAGTCAAAATTCACTGGTATATTGACAGCATGAACATACAGTAATGAATATGAAGGCTTTATTTTTAGTGGCGTAGAGAACGTCAATAGTTACATGTTTAACTTAACATCGATAGTAATTCACTGTTTACTAGTTTATACATATAAACTACATCTAATTCCATAGTGTCTTTTGACAATGAAAAGCTTTCGTAGTTCGTTTTTAGAAAGTTATCGAACATAAATATGTTCAGTTAAAGACAATAATTTATACATTAAGTAATAATTTATAAGTAGATATCGAATGAATAATTAGGTCAAATTATCAATGAACTGTCAATTAAACAATGATTTTAACAATGACTTTAATGATGAGAAGTTTTTCTGTTTAAATGTTCGATCAACTTGACACTTAGAGTTAACTAATTTAGACAAAGGTAACTAAATTATAGGATATCAACATTGATGGTAAGTCATGATCATGTCTTTTATTAAAATTGCTTGATCACATGAGTTTTATAGTGTGAATAATACAGAGTAGCCATCGTACTTAATTGGTCATCCTAACACCTTAATTATTTAATTTTCACGAGCTAATTATGATACAGTGGGAGTTGGCTGTCGTTTGAGAACATAAATTAACTATACTAACTGTTGTATAATGGAAGTAAGCAGAAAAAGTCATAAAGAAATTCTGTTTAAAAATTATTTTATTTAGTACTAAGTATTTTACATATTTTGCTCATTTTTCGCGGTTTAAAATGTAACGTCATTATGAAAATATTTAGATATTTTAATGGACATTTCTATATTTTGAGGATAATTCTAACTACGACTGATGCCAGATGGTCATGTACTGCTGGTGATTCTTAAACTACAACAAAACATTTGCGTAGTTAGTACTGAGTTAGTTAGCGCTAAACGAACTCTAATAGAAATGATCTGTCAAGCGATTGACATATTATCATCCCAAAATTTAAATGCTAAGACGTTGAGAGGTGTTCGTTTAAAACACTAAAACGCTCTCATTCATTTCAGATGAATCCATATACCAAATCCTTTGTACGAATTCTTAAAACAATAGATGGTATGCAGTAGTAGAAGTCACCTATGTCAGGCTAGTAAGATATCTGTTTATTTCATGAGGTAATTATCTTACTATTCTTGGATAAACTATATGATTATTGAGCATTTATGAAGTGTATCGAAGTGATTAATTGTGCAACTTTCCACTCACGCCTATAATTATGTGAGTAAAGTATTGCCATTCATATAATGTGTGTAATTATTTAGTGAAACAAGTGGGATTTTGTTTGTGAATATATCAATGTCCTCTGGTTTTTAAAAGTACCTCAGTGCATACACGTAGTTCCTTTTTATATAACTGTAGATTTAAAACGTTAATTAAACTAGAATCCAATGAATTCCCTGTTTTTTGTGGACTTCGTTTAAATACGTTAAACCTTATTCATATTAAAAGATAATATAATATTATGCAATCACCAAAGACAACCGCGACTTCAGTTTATGACGTAAATATTCTTTATTATGAGATTACCATAATAACTATGTATGTACTGATTATATATGTATATATAAAATAATTAACCTCTTCATCTGGTAACTGAATTAGTTGTCGAAATACTGTTGCAAATCCAATAAGAAGATATAAAGATAAAGGTAACAATTTAGCAACTGTGGCTGTCACATGTATAAACATGATGATAAATATTCCAAAATCTTGTGACCTATAAATAAGAAAAAATAGACAAAAATGATGGAGGTTTAGAGTGGTGGTTTGAGGTAGTCGACAGGAAACCATGGACCAAGGTTTCATACTGTTTGGTACTCATCATTAAAGTTTACCTGTAGTCCTGAGGGGACTGATGCTCCCTGGCACTAAGAAGGACCTGACATAGATGACATTGATCACTACCCAGTGACCAATCATTTGTAAATCATTAAGATTAACTAAATAGTGAAGTTTTACTTAAGTATGTAACTTTTGATTGAAAAAGTACAATAACGAAAACTAGGGAATACCATACATCTAGGTTAGAACAAATGATGAATGATGCACAACTAAAATAAATTTTACTGAGATCCATTGTAAAAAGTATGAGTGTAATGTTTAACTATCTATGAAAAATAATTATGAACTTTGAAATTAAAACTAGTTATAGATAAATGGCATTGTCTGCAGTTGTGTTCTGTTTTCGGAGCGGGCACAATGAAATGATCTAACTATGTCAGTAGTGTGTTCATCAACAAATATATTGACTTGTGTTTCAGGATCGATATAATTTAATTTTGACCCTCGATCTTGTGGCATATATATTTTTCAGGAATGAATTAGGGTTATTTGAATTTTCTCAACAGTAGTATGCCTTATAAGCAAAGATGGATAGTGGCTAGCAGTGGAGTCCAGGACACGCGTTTCGTCCTGTTTGGGACTCGTCAGCGGGATGTACCTGCATGAGTTGATGTTCACTCTGGGACTCGAACTCAGTATCGTTCGCTTCAAACACCATCGTAGTATGCCTTGAAAACGTCTATATACATAATGATTTACACTTGCTAGTCCGAAGTCGTTAAGGTCATGTAAACTTTATTTCGATGCCTATAAGTAATGTTTTGTGATCTATTAGAAAAGTATAGCACAGAAATTATGTTTACTTCTTTATAATAATCCTACAACTACATATCAGCTTATATTAATATTGATTCTATGATATGGTGTTATAATATAGTTATATATTCACGCAGTGTTTCATATAAGACTATTACGGACAGTAATGCTATTATGGAACAAAAAATAAGAAATACTTTTAACCAATTATTTATACCTTGATTAACCAGTTACAAATTATATTAGTGTAATTAATATTAAATATATGAATAATACAAACCGAATCATTTGTAAAAGTAGATTCATCCAAGCTATAAACATGACAATTATTGCTAGAACAGCAGAATATAGTTGATTATTACCAATTAAACTTATTACTGAATTTATAATAAGTAGTGATTGAAATATTAAAACAAAGTGGTTATTCCAATGTTTAAAATATTTCACTCTCTAAATGGTAGTATAAAAGAGAAAAAGGGAAACAAATAATGACGAAATATATAAATCGAAATTTCAATAAAATATTTAATAGTTACTTCTCGGATGAGGATATAAAGGAGAGGATTGGCAAAACAAGGGAAGCATTCCTACAGTTGAACAACATATGCAACTCAAAACAAATGTCAAACAACATCAAAATCAGAATATTCAATACAAACGTCGAGACAGTCATAATGTATAGAGATAAAACTTGGAGAACTACTACAATCATCAATAAAAAAGTACAAGTATTCATAGATGATTTGCTACGCAAGATACTGAATGTCCGTTCACCGGATACCATCAGCAACAATCTACTGTGTGAGAGAACAAACCAACTTCTTGAGGAATAGGAAAGTAGGAGGAGTTCAATGGAGAATCCTAATGGGTAATTCATGCTCCTTCACAAGGGTTAGTAAGAGTAATTAAGTATGTAGGTGCTGTATCAAAAGCTTGTTGATACTTAAGCTCATTAAAAATAATTCTGGGGTGATTAAACTTTCAGTAAGAACATTAAAAAGTGAAGAGAGAATACCATAGTTGCCTATACAGAGAACTTATGTAGATCAATCATCATCCAACGGTTTATCTTATCTTATCCAATCAACTTGATAAGCCTTTTGACTTTCTTTCAATTCCATATATTTTATCCTCAATTCTAGCATATAGATAATTGAATATGACACAGAACAATTAGCGTATGGTACGTTTGTAATAACGTGTAGTGCTAACAAACACAAACTTTATCTTACAGAAAAAGTTATCCACAGAATCAATATTTGTATCCATAAACTTTTTTTAGTTAATCTATTTGATTGCTTTGTATTAATTTTGAAAATTACTTACGACTGTTACTCCTCGTGGAGGAGCATAGGCTACCCACCAGCACTCTCCATCCATCTCTGTACCGGGCAATCTTTTGCAGCTTTTTACAATTGATATTCAGAATTTTTATGTATGCTTCCGATTCCCGGTGCAGTGTGTTCTTCGGCCTTCCACTTTTCCATTTCCCTTCACGATTCCAAGTTAGCACATGCCTCGTGATGCAGTTTGGTGATTTCCTCAATGTATGTCCTATCCACTTCCAACATCTTTTCCTAATTTCCTATTCGTCAAGAAGTTGGTTTGTTCTCTCACACAGTAGATTGTTGCTGATGGTATCCGGTGAACGGACATTCGGTATTTTGCGTAGCAAATCATTTATGAATACTTGTACTTTTTTATTGATGATTGTAGTAGTTCTCCAAGTTTTATCTCTATACATTATGACTGTCTCGACGTTTGTATTGAATATTCTGATTTTGATGTTGTTTGACATTTGTTTTGAGTTGCATATGTTGTTCAACTGTAGGAATGCTTCCTTTGCTTTGCCAATACATCCTTTACGTCTGCATCAGTTTCTCCTTGTTCATTAATGGTGCTTCTTAGGTACATGGAAGATTCCACATCTTCTAGGGCTTCTCCATCAAGTGTGATTGTGTTGGTGTTCTCTGTGTTATATTTGAGGATCTTGGTTTTCACCGTGTAAGTGTTGAGATCTACTGATGCGGAGCCTTTTGCTACATTGGTTGTCTTGACATAAATTTGTTGATGTGTATTAAATAGAAGTCTTAGGTCATCTACGAAGTCCGAATCGTTTAGGTGCAAGTTCTGACACAGTGGTAATATACTATTCATTCTTATATCAATAGCATTTATACAGATCTAGCTTTTAGGCAATCAAATTATTCTACGAGAGAAAAGTTTTATGGGTTATCTTAGCTGAATAGTTTATGAATAAACATATATTTCCTAATTTTTATGTCACTAAATTCATAGTTAGGTAGTGACCACACCATTTATTCAATGAATTTTAAAAAAATCAGTGATTTTTTAGAGTGATGTGGCCGCGAACCATCAATATCCATCTTTATTGTTATTTTGCTCACATTATTAATTTTTAAAGTCAGAAAGGGTTTTTGTGGATATTATAGTAATTTAATAATTGAGATCATGATTCAATTGAAGCTAAACCACCACGAAAAACGTGGATTCACTGGAAGACCGTTCCGTCTTATTATGGGACTCCTCAGCAGTGCGCACTTGCGACCCCTCTAGCGGGATTCGAAATTGGGGCCTATTGGTTTCCCGCGCGAACGCTTGACATCTAAACGACTGAGTCGGCACCGAACGGTGTTATTGTTTAACTTTAACCTATCCACGAAATTGGCTCAGAGGTTAAGCGTTCGCGCGCGAGACCGATAGGTCTTGGGTTTGAATCCTGCTGGGTGGGATTGTTTACAATAATAATTTGTAAAGTCCCAAAATTTTCCACAAAAACACATTACAAGTGTGAAATATTTCGCATAGAAAATTTAAGTTTCAATATTGTGTTTGAATAGGGAGATTTTAGACAAATTAACTAAAAATTGAACTTTCAACATAATTTAAACAACAGAAAAGCCCTTTCACCATTAAGTAGTTAAACAAAAAATAACTTTCAATTTGGTTAAATGAATCAAACTTAAATGCAATGCTCTTACTTGTGAAATAATTTGCAAGCATTGTGTAAACATATTTGATAAACTAACAAACAAAATGAAAATCAATATTCTTCTATTAAAACTTGATTCATTTGTTTGACTGTATAACTGAAAGGAAATTGATACAGAAAAACGTTAAACGACATGACCTTGTAATTTATTTTAAAAAAAAACGTGGTAACAACAAGTACTTAAGATGTAGGTTATCATTAACAAAATAATCTTTGTAGCTTTAATAGACAACAAACATTGTTTTTAACTTAGTATGAGATCGTTATAGTGTACACACTTATTGCGTCAGAATATATGATCTTTAAAAATTTTACCAATGGGCATAATACCCTTCATCAATTGTTATAACTTTCTCAATTTCAAATACATGACTATATGATACAGGGATAATTCAATAATCAATCCAATTTTAGGGATCTATCTATCTTAGTTACCAGTTAATTAAGATTTAAGCTAGTAGACCTGTCATCAAAACTATCAATTTTTACTTATTTTGTTTGATTATGTAATCTATTTCGCTGTTATTATTCACTCACAAACTATCTTGATTGGTTTGGTATTTTCATATATCCATATAATTATTACTTTTTATATTAGAGTATAGCCTGGTGATGGTTTAATTGAAAGCCATACTGTTCATTTAGAATCAATTCTATATAGCAATTCTAGTTTTTAGTTCAGTAGATAGATCTCTTTCAATTACAACCCTTATTCTTGATTTTTGCTTTCATTACATCATGGATCATGTAAAGTGAATAGAAACAATTATCCATACTTGTTGTTATGTATATGAAAATTAGCTGATTAAGAAGAAAATTATCACTTGTCTACTTGAATAGATTCAAATCAACCGTTTTAAAATAGTTTAAGTTCATAGTAAATCTATTTATCTAATTAAATCACTCAGATGACAACAAGAAGCTGGACAACTGTTGATGAATTGTTTTTAATATGCATAAATTACTTAAACATTTTACATAAATGAACTTTTTATTCGTTGAAATTTATTTGGTAACTAGCTTACAAAATTAGTTTCTGTGAATGTTTCATTGAAAAATGTTTGAGAAAAGTGCTAAAATCTTATTCATTATATGATTTACTCTTGTTTGTCTGAAGAAACTTGTTTACTATAGAATAATTGACATTAGAGCCATTATATAGTTCAAAAATATGTTCCGTTACTAACTAAAACAACCTAAATTTATCTACGGTAACATTAATATGTTGTCTCGTGGTTTCTAATTCGAATTATAGCATAATTTAGATTTCCTCTAGATCTCATATCATCAAGTGATGAACCTATGTGTATTAGGATAAAAGAATACTGTTAAACCTTTCATAGTAAATTTAATTAATCATAACCATAACAAATTCAACAGTGACAACTCAACACTAATATCCTAATAATCTAGTGAGTCGCAGATTTTTATCATTATCTTAGGATCACTAAAATCATAGATATCTTTAAAATAATAATGATTAGCTTATTATAAAAAGATTTTTCATAACTTACATTTTGAACACAGTGATCTACTTGATTATTATTATTATAGTCCATAATTAATGGTACTTGTCTTAGGCAGGAAAAGGTTACTGCCGAATTTAATATTATGTAATAAACAGTTATGATTAAATGAATCCATCTACCATACATCATCCTATTTTTTGAGGGGGAAATCAATAAAGATGGTGTAAATAAATGATTATATGTTATGTCGATAAGGTTAAATAACTCATAACTAATAGTCTTTAATCTTTCGATTTTATAGATTCCAAAAGGTTGTGTTTAGGAAAAAACGATGGAAATGGATAGGAAATACATTACACAAATCATCAAACTGTATCATGAGGCAAGCCTCAACATGGAATCCTGAAGGGAAACGGAAAACAGGAAGGACAAAGAACACATTACGTCGGGAGATAGAATCAGATATGAAAAGGATGAATAAGAACAGGAAAGAGCTGTGAAGGATTGCCAAAGACAGGGTTAGATGGAGAGTGCTGGTGAGCGGCCTATACTCCTCCATGAGGAGTAACAGAAGTAAGTAAGAAAGGTTGTGTATATTAGATCTTTTAAAATAGTTTAGTCATTGTATATATGTACGTTAGTTTTAAAAAAATTAATATTAACTGAATAAACGGCACAGATTGAACAATCTTTATGCTTTTAGGATTTTATAATATGAGGATGCCTTGGCAAAACTTATGTTTAGTAAGTGTATACCTTTGTCAAATGGTAATATACTATATATGTGTTTAAATGTTACATAGAAGTATTTTCCATAAAACCAGTTTCATAGTCTCACATGTCATGTATATAAAAATTAAGTTTAGAAATTAAAGTATGAATCCTGAAAGGTTCAACATAAAGTTTTAGATCCACAGTTTTGGTTACATATACAAAACAGATTGAAGTCGGTGTACAAAAGTTAATACTACCAATATAAGAAAATCTATGAAACAACATTGTACCGAAATGGTGATTAGTTAATCTTTTCATTACAACCAAATATCCTAATTCATTTCTAAAAAACACAATTTCAAAGCGTTAACTGATTAAGCAAAGATGGATAGTGGCTAGCAGTGGAATCCAGGACGCGCGTTTCGTCCTATTTGGGACTCGTCAGCTGGATGTACCTGCATTTCAGAGTTGATGTTCACTCCGGGACTTGTACCTTGTACTGTTCTCTTCAAACGCCATCCCGGAGTGAACATCAACTCTGCGATGTAGGTACACCCAGCCGACGAGTACTAAATAGGACGAAACGCGCGTCCTGGATTCCACTGCTAGCCACTATCCATCTTTGCTTATAATGCTTGTAAATTAAGGCAATATAGAGGCATACGCACAGTATCTACATATGCCAATAAAAGACTGATCAATTTCAATCCTAAAACATCAATGGAAGATACAAGTAAAACAACACCAAGTGAAGTTAACTGCTCATATTTCTTACATTAGACTAAAAATAAAATTTGTTAATCAAGTATTGAAATAAATTACTGTCAGTCTACTTAAACAATGACAACAATGATTTAAACAAAAATATATATACTTATCATTTACCATTTTACTTTGAGAAACATCTCACATAAAGGATGAGCAAGTAATTTATCCCGTTTATGAAGAATCATAATCTTTGAAATGTTAAAAAAAAGAAAAAGTTGTTAAATTTTGTTTAATTCTAACTTTGGTAACAGATTTCTAATTCTACTCTGTCAACTTTCAGTTTGATAACCAGATTGTCCTAATTTGATGGTTATTATCAGTTACTTTCCATATTCATTTTGTGTACTTATTGAGCTTTTGAATCAGTTTTTCATCATCTTTTTTTCTGTCTTCCAAATCCTCACATGTGAGTTTCGCTGTACACTCTTGTGAAACATAATGTACTTTTAGGATAGATGTAATTCTATCAAAATCGGAATATTACACAATGCACCATTAAACTTATTTGATTCATATGAATCGATATGAGATTAAGAATTTCCGATAGTAAACAACATATCTGTCAAAATTATCTCCTGTAAGAATAATGTAGATTGTATGTAGAAAAGATTTAAGGTAAATAAATTTGCATGTACATGGATACTTGAAAGTAATTTTTGCATCACGAACTGTTAACAGCCGGAAAACTAATCTGAAACTATGAAGCTCTAAATAAAAATTTTCTTCAGATTGCACGAAATCTTCATGTCATGTAATCACAAATGATCGGTTTCTTTACGTTTGAAGATACCTGACCTGCCGAGTATTGTTGTATAACTTCCTAACACCTTTCCATTTTTGGCTGGATAAGTATCCATAGATCTTCCGTAGGAGTTAACTTAAAGAGTTTGTTGACTATCTTCATATCGATAATAATGACTAGTATCCATTTACTTTTTATCATATAAACTGTCTGATCATGTATTTTATAAATCCTCAAGGTTGAATGCAAAAGTTATGGAATGATTCAATGTTTCAATATTTCTATAAATGAGAAAAATTTAAATCCTTGTATTAAGATAACAAGATAATTATTCTAGGGAGTAATTTTTAGGTTCATTGTTTTCTTAATAAAATCCCATCTAATTGCTCTCGATCACTGATTGTGCTAGTCTATAAAAAGGACAAAAGTCCTCTTGTGACAATCACAGAGGAATCAGTTTGACAAATATAGTGTCTAAAATATTAGCTTCAATAATACTTCGACTAGAGAAATTCAGGCTAGTTTTCGACCTGGACGTGGTTGTATAGACCAGATATTCCCACTACGTCAGGTTCTAGAACACAGACACATATTCAGATGCCCACAATCGTAGTATTTCTCGACCTTAAGGTAGCATTCGACTCTGTTGATCGCGAGGTTCTGTGGCAGTGCTTGTCATTGAAAGGAGCATTAAAGAAGTACATTAACCTTATACAGGCTCTCTACTCGAACACAACTGGTAGACTGAGAGCTTATGGCGAACTGTCATCAGAATTGATTACCTCAAGTGGTGTTCATCAGGGCTGTCCACTCTCTCCATTTTTGTTTAACATTGTCATTGACGTGCTTTTAGAGATAACACTTTCCTCGTCTAGTTTTCCAAGTGTTGAACTTCTATCAGGAGATTCACTTGTTGACATAGAATATGCCGATGACATAGTTCTATTTGATGAGACGCTGACAAAATGCAGAGTCTTCTGACCACTCTAAGCAACAACGCAAGCATGTTCAGCATGCGATTCTCCCCATCGAAATGCAAAATGTTGCTTCAGAATTGGGTTGCATCGACACCCGAACTAATGATAGGGAGTGAAATAGTTGAGCATGTCGATTGCTTCACTTATCTTGGAAGTCTCATCAGCCCTTGTGGTCTGGTGTATGACGAAGTCTCAGCACGGATACAGAAGGCTCGATTAGCTTTTGCCAAATTGCATCATTTATGGCGTAGGCGAGATATCCGTCTATCAATCAAAGGACGTGTTTACTGTGCAGCAGTTCGTTCCGTCCTACTTCATGGCAGTGAAACATGGCCGGTAAGAGTAGAGGATATTCGTAGGTTACTAGTATTCGATCATAGGTGTATTCGAAACATTGCTCGTATATCCTGGGACCATCGAGTAAGTAACTTAGTTGTTAGGAAACGGGTGCTAGCTAAGAATGGCAAATCGATTGATGAAGTAGTGGAACTTCATCAGTCGATATGGCTGGGACACGTGTTACGTATGTCCAACCACCGACTGCCTCGACCTGCGATATTTTGTGGTGTAGGAGTAGGTTGGAAGAAAGCTAAGGGAGGCCAGACCAAAACATAGCACAAATCTATGAAGTCACTGACAAGTGGACTGAGTCATGTTGGTAGGTGTAGACTACCTGGTTGAGGACCGTGAGATGATAGCAACCGATGGTTAGAGACCCTGAATGACATGGCTCAAAATCGTTTGCAATGGCGCAAGTGCATCCACTATTTGTGTTTTCCCAAATTCTAATCTTCTGTATTTGTCATGTCCCTGTTCCCTCGTCCCAAATTTATTTCAGTGTTATATCCCTTGAATAACATCTTCGAGCCCTAATCTTTTCGATTACTGCTTATGCTCTTACTACCTTTACCACTACAGAATTTGAGTCGACAACTGCATCTCTGTGCTAATGTGTTACTGACTGACGGACTGACTACCGTTTCATATGAAGTTGTATTCCAGTCATCAGTTTTTTAAATAAACAAAATTAGTTTACCTTTAAGTGTTGTAGTGGTTCAGTTGGTTGTCTGTTGCGATTTTTTAAAGGTGGTTGTAATATAGAGAAATCAAACAATGTCTAGACAGAAAATAAAAGACGAAGAAACAAGTAACAATGTCTCAACATACTATATAATATAAAAGATCCCATAAACCATTTCTTTATTGGTTTACATATCTAACAAGGGAAGTAATGAAATGTACAAACTGAAAGTAACTCATGAAAAATGTCACGAAACTTTGAAAAAGAATCAATCATCATAGAAACACACTGATTCATTAGAAAAATATTTACATACATGTCAGTCACCTGATAAGTTATGAAAATATGACATGGTTACTTTTTTGGGCATCGGTAATCAGTAGGGAATTTTGAACGTTGCTAGATTTTATACTGGGATTAACATGAAGTCAAGTCACTTGAACAATATGACTTATAGAGTTCAAGCAATAGTAAGAACTAGACAGTATAATATTGGTTATTAGTCAGTAACCAATAACTGTAAGCTATATAGCTATCTGACAATGAATTAAATGATCAAATTAGTCAGTAGAAACACATATACATTTAACAATGATAACGTCGATTTTGCAACTTGGTAATAAAGGTTCGTGAAAAAGTGTGTAAATCATACAATTTATGAAGGCCAGTAATACTATTGATCTAGCAAAACAAAAATAAATGAAGCTCAGTTTAAACTTTTTGCCTAAATGTTAAAAGTTTTCTTTGATGTTAACTGATAGAAACTGTGAATTACCATTATACTTATTGATATTAAATGAAGAATAGTTGAGGATCATTAAGTTCTAAACATATTACTCTGGTTTAAAATAGATCTTTACAATTTAAGGATTTTTAGAATATTTCAAAATCAAAAGTAGACAGTTTCATTGGGTAAAGAGTATGGAGTTTTGAAAATTGATCTAAACTATTTATCTTCTGAAACAATTATTAGTTCATGAAGAGAAATGTCTCCAAACTAGTGATTTGCTCACAAAGCACTCATATGAATTTTGTTTTTTTTTCCACTGATAAATTTTTCTTACACATTCAACCCTCAGACAAATACGAAATTTGCACCTTATTGAAATAAATATTTATCCTGATAGTGAGTTGTAAACACCCGTAAATAGTCACTCAATGTAAGCATGACTGATAAAGTTATTTACTGATCCTACATAAACGACCAACAAAAAACATAGAACATTAAAGAGTCAGTAAATTCTAGCATGAAAATTTGTCAAATAGTGAGCTTAGGATCTACTGCATTCCAGGTAAGGGAAATCATCGAGTCTGAACCCTGTGGTCGAGATTTCTACCTTCAGTTGTTTCATGATATTGGGTTATAATTCTTTGTCATCATTGAGAACTGTCTCATTTCCAGCGTTGTTCAATCTCACCAGTCACCACCTCTCTCTAGAACCAGGGGATAATGAGCACATAGTTATTCATAGAGTTATCATAAATTATATTGGGCATCATATAAACGATTATGAAATAGTGATAAATACAAATTCATTTCTTTTATGAATACTGGTTTAAGATTTTCTCTATATAAAATAAATATTATTCAGTTACCCCGTGTTCTGGACTGTTCACTTTTCCTTGATCAGTGATATAACGGTCCATAACCAACTATAAACAATTAGATGTATACCAGATTATTTTAAAAAGGTAACTACTTAATAATAATAGAAATTTATTTTTATGTTAAACAATAATGTTTATTTTTGACCTTTTTATTGCATTTCTCTGTGTCTGAAAGGCATCATAACCGTAGGACTGTATAGATACTCAGCTGAAAACTATAAACTGACAATTGATATTTAGTCATCAAGTTATTTTACAGTCCGCTTAAAGTCTAAAGAAACTTTGATAACCAAATATCTGGCTCGCAAAGTACATTGTTCACTTTCCAAGATAAGTCTCAGTAAACATAAAATATGATTTATTCATGTCAACCCATAAGGATTCAACATTTTATTCATTCTTTACAAAGATTTTATTATCAATGTATTGAATGAATTGTTCATACATTTCACTAGACTGGTGCATATTTGAAGATTTAGAAATAGTTAGTTCACAGTGTTCTAACCTCAAAACTAATCTGATAAAAGAGGGAAATTGCTAAGGTTAACAAAACGACTATTCACTTATAGGATACATTTCCAACTGCCAACAAAATAGATTCCAGAAAAGAGATTCTCACACCAAATAGAGTATTTTTGTACTGTGTATTATTATTGTTCATGCTTGTATATAAAATGTCCAGCCATAGTAGTATAAACTTAAGTTACCCATCAGTTTATGAACAATTAAGCAATGATAGAACCGATGATATTTGGTTCGTCCTGTTGTAACTAAAAAGATTACTGAATAGAGTTCATAGGTGTATATTCAACTCTATTAATGTAAATACAAACTAAGCCTTCTGTCGTTAGACTGACTTGATACTAATGATTAGATCATGTTAATAACTGCTAAAATAGCTATAATGAATGATGAATATATTCAATAGTTTAATTCATAAAAGTGAATACTGAATATTTCGATGACTTTGATGACTTTCAAATGACTTCTCGTCTTTAAATCGTTCTCTTGTCTAAGAAATGTAATTATCATTTGTTTACGATCGACTAATTACTCAAGTCCTTTAATATTAACATAAAAGTAATCATTATCAACAAATCGTAGAGTGCTATTCAAATGTTTAGATTTCAAAGGAAAATCTTTCTGAAGTTTCAGATATGGAATTTATCTAGCAAATTCATTTTGATTTCACATTAGAAAAATTGCAATAGCTTTGATTAGGGCTTAATAACACATGAATATTATAAAAGAAGACTCATTCATAAAAGGAATGAGTTAGAAAAATGAACAGTTATGTAATCTTGAAGTAAAATTCATTGTCAATTCATTAAAACGGTAGTTTACATAGTGTCGGGAATTTATACAGCATCTTAATTGGTTATAGTGAGATGAATTGATCCATTTGTATCGAGTTTATGTACCGTCAATATGACTAAACTAAGATTGATATGTGAATTTTATCAAGATTTTAATGACAAACAGCTGTCATTCAAGTGGCATACATTATATCAATATGTTTAGGTGTCTGTAATTTTTTGGTACGAGTCATGGAATTGATATAGGAAATACCAAAACAGTTATATACAAATTATTCTTCCTCTTTTCTCACCAAAGAAACCACATACCAAACAAATTTCAGGTAAATACTCTATTAATTCTTTGAATGGACAGTATATTGTGTTGCTAAGTAACTCCACTATTTCGGGCCATCTGTAAATAATAAAAAAATATTATATTGTTAAATAAATTGTTGTAACTATGATACTGTTACACAATGACGTGATTTTATAAAGGTTTTATATAATTTGATAAGAATTGTCATCATGAACTGATGACAGTTGAAAACAACAGGAAAAGGTTAGTTATTTCAAATAATTGTGATATTTATTTACAGTGCACCAGTAAGATCCTACACATGATAAGACTTAGAGCTTCAAATCTTCAAACTAGATCGTTCAAACGTATTATTCTATGGTTCTGAGATCCTAGATTCAATTCTATGTAGGTTATTAGTAATGCTTTGCTGAAAAGTTTTAAATAAGATCTAAACAAACCGTTCACTACTCTTAGCTTTTAAAACTTCTCCAGCTGTTAATAATTTGTGATAGAAATTTCCTTCAAGGTTTATTTAAACCGCATAACTTTCACGAGAGAAAGATATGTATGAAATGATATAATATTCTGAGTGAAGTAATATTCAGTTAGTCAGTCAGCTACAACGTAGGACCAGGCACATATGTGCATCAGTCCAAGTTGACATACCTCATTAACCCAACAGGATGAACACCGAATTCATAGAAGTAGTTAATTCAGTGGTGGTAATATATAAAAGAAAGTTTGCATATGAGAGTATAGTACAGAAAGAAAGAATTAGTTGATAGGAAGAAAGATATGGAGCGATTTTAATCTCATAGTTTAAAGGAAGACAGAGAGTGTATACACGACGCCATTGTGATCGATTCTGAGCGATGTCACCAAGAGTCTCCAACCATTGGTTACGACAGTCACATGGACCCCAACCAAGTAGTCTGCATCTCCCAACATGGCTCAGACTAGAAGTTATTGACTTCAATGACTGATGCTACGTTTCGGTTTGGTCACCCCTAACTTTCTTCTAACCATCTCCAACACTATAAGGTAATATTAAGTAAATATAATATTAATGATATGAATGTCTAGTATTTTGAAACCAATAAATCAGGAATTATTAGCCTATTTATTTTTAGATTCGTAATGGGAACTACTAAATTTCTATGGTGTCCAAATGACTTAAGTATTTCGAATACAATAACTGTGTTGATAAACATGAGGTGAGTTAATTTAGCTTCTAATATTGTATTATAATCACTTAAATAGATGAAAAAAGCAGATAGATTATTTAAAGTTAATCAAACCTATACATCTTTATGTATTAATATTTAGGCATTGTAAATATTTACAATACATGCTTAATTTACTTTTCACAGAGGAGCTTTTCTATTGAACTATGAGTAATGATATTATGAGTTATATATACATACATACTTGTTTATCATATTAATTTCCTAATTTTCTATCTGCTTACTTCCTGTTTATAATTTAAGTTTTTTGTTCTCCCTTTATATGAGTTATCGACACTGAACCAATAGATTGTATAATATAATATTATTTGAATTGTCCTATGAATAGTTATATATTCTAATGTTTTGCAAAATAATAACTTGCATGGTAATCATCTTTAGTTACTGGTCTACTGATATCTGATTAGGTAGATCTCTTATTTTAGTTATGCCTTATTTTTACTTTAACTGTTTAACTTAGCTTTTGATCAATCCAAATTGATTCCTCTGGAGTATTTTGAATACTTGTGATACAGTCGGTGAGTCACCTATGAGGATAGACAACATCTGTAATTTATCAACTTATCATTTTAATTCTATTTTTTAGTATAGGGTAGTGAAGATAGATCGATTCATGGTTTCAATGAAATTGAACAAAGATTATTATTGAAAAACCTAGAAGCATTGTTTTTGGTTGTTTCGTCCTAGTATGGGGCTCCTCAGCAGTGGGCTTTCACAATCCCACACTCAGGAATCGAGCCCAGGAATGCACGGATGCTTAACCTTCGGATTTTCAGGGGTGACATAACTTAACATGGTTCATAATTTCAATTAGTTTTAATCGTAAGTTTACTTTTTTGTCTTCAGAATCTTCTGTATATCACTTCCACTTAATAATGATAACAACGTATATGTTGAGCGCTGATACTACATTCAATCGTTCAGATTATGATTGTAGTAAGTGTCTTTCAACTATATACACATACACCCTGTATTGTTATAGCTAGAAAGTGCATCAAATAGACATGTTGTACTTCCATTAATCACTTTTCTGTTCGTAAAACATTTAATCAGCTATGTGTCTTCTCTTGTGTGCATTTGAATATGTGCATGTCCATTATCTATTTTATCGATTCTCTTATTGGTTGTAAATTCAACTAGTCGATATATCATAACTCAAATAAATTCATATCATGCTTAAGCAACACTCTTTACACTATCTTTCTTCGGCTGCCCGACTGACAAACGTTTGATCTATTGAATTCCAACCTAATCTGTATTTAGCTTTTGGATTTCTAAAGTAGAAATGCATTTGAACGCACGTCGAAAGTTTGCAACAAGGCACGAGTAGATTAAACTCGGAGTCAGAACATAGTAATTTGAATTGTAAGTTTTATAGCCTCATATTTACATACAGATCATAGACCTTTCTTTCTGACCAGTGTTAAAAAGATATGAGACAAGGGCTTGGTACCTAAATGTTTAACTGCAATACGACAGATTATTTGTGTTCACTTTTATGATTAGTTTTGATCCCTTGATTTTGTACCTGAATACGTGTATGAATATTTATGCATACTTGTCTGATGATCGTGCTGCATTGGATCTGTCTAATACATCACGCTTTAGGTCAATATATTTATATGTATTACCGTAACTAACCTTTCATGTAGAACTATTTCTTTAACAGCTGCCTCATTTTGTCTTGTAATTGCATAATTTGAGAAGTATAATCCATTATGATCTGGTTTGATCTCCGCACCGTTAGATAGTAAATATTCTATTGTACGACTGTTATTCCTTATTGCAGCAATATGTAATGCAGTTATCTACAAATTATTAAATATTGTGTGTCTACTGTATTAAAACCAATGGAAATAAAATGACGGTTGTATAGATCGAGTGAACAATTTGCAAATTATGTATTGATTCTTTTTTATTACTAAATAAATACCAGACGTACATACTAGTAGTGTGTGCTACAGATGTCGACGGATATAAGTAGTATATATCATCAATTGAAAGTGAAATATCTGGAGCAGAAGGTTAAGAAGATCGAAGAAACAAGAACGAGAACAGAGAGTGATTGGTGTGGAAACGAAGGAACAATCAAGTCTGAGACAATTGGTGGATATTTTACAAATAAAGTATTTACTAGTTGGTTGTCAGATTTGACTAAGATTCTGTAATTTTGCATTCAAATACACTTGTGTTCTCGCTCAATACAGTAGTACTTAGATATGACAGTAACAATTTCAGAACAAGTGTGTTTGCTAAAGACTTTGTTTTATAGTTTAAATTAGTTGTGACAACTGACATATTTAGTTCAGGATGTAGTATTCAACCATTAACTGTTTTTATCAAATTTGGATAGCAACCAGCACTAAAATCCAGGACTCGCGTTTCGTCCCATTTGGAACTCGTTTGTTGGGTGTTCCCGCGTCCTTATCGATCTTCACAGTGAGATCCAAACATTGTAGCTTCCACTACAAACAAAACCTACATCTCCGGTCGCAACGTTAGCTAATCCTCGGTCTTAATAAAAAAATTATGATAAACGGTAGGAGCCAGGTAATTTGCTCAGGTTGCACATGTGCTATTAAAAACTAATGAGCTATATTCCTTAAAATAAACAGCAGGAAAATACAAACTCTTACAAATAACTAATAACCGAATTAAGTGGTTAATTTTATACCACAAACAAATGAGTCAAAGTTCAAATTAATTAGTGATTTTGTTAAATGGTTATTAGTAGAATCGTCTCAAAAGACAGGTTCACAGCTCGTTGATAATTTACCGTATTTTATCATATTAAGGAATATAATATAGCTACTTAACCACTCTATCCATGTAAAATCTTTAAAGAAATGAAGTTATAAGCCAAAAAGAAACTTACTCCATCATAGTTTGTTTGATTTAATAAAGTAGGATTAATCTCTAATAGAATTCTACATGCTTCTACATTCTCTTGCATTACTGCATAATGTAAAGCAGTATTTCCTTCATGGCATCTAGATGAATTAATAAGTATCAATAAAGTCTTTTTAATTTTGATAAATTGAAAAAAGTTATCAGTATTTTTGCAGTTTCATTGTTATTTAAGATTATATACTACTGAATATTGAAACTTAATGGAAAATAAAAAAAATAATACAGACATTAATGTTAATTTGGTTGTTTGAAAGTAACTCAGTTCGTATTTATGAATTCTAAAAGTCAATTGAAGATAAACAACCATGGAAAAACTGGAAGCACTGGACGGCCGTTTCGTCCTAGCATGGGACCCCTCAGCAGTGCGTATCCACGATCTCGCTCCCGTGAGATTCAAACCCAGGACCTATTGTGACATATCGGCCCACTGAAGACAATGGTGTACGGTGGCGCAATTTCGTGGATTGGTTGAAGTTGGACCTTAACACCGCTAAATGCCGGCCAGCCCAGTGGTCTAACGGTTAAGCGCTCGTGCGCGAAAATGATAGGTCCTGGGTTCAAATCTCGCGGGGGAGGGGATCGTGGATGCGCACTGCTGAGGACTCCCATGCTAGGACGAAACGGCCGTCCAGTGCTTCCAAGTTTTCCATGGTTGTCTAGCTTCAATTGGCTCATCATTTCAACTAGTGAAATTTCTAAAATCTCCACAAAACCCATTCTGATAATTCTAAAAGTACTTTGAAAATAACTTTTCCCGTAATTTTAAGATCGAAATTCTTGTTTTTTTTCAGTCGAACGTTCGCTGTAGTGTGTACTACTTGTACGGACAGATATAAGTAGTATATATCAGGAATTAAAACTTTTTCTCGAGTGAAGTAAACAGAAAGCAATCGAAGTAACAACAGGGATGAATGACAACTCAAGGATGATGGGCTGATAGGTTATTTAATGTATTGCTTATTACACCACCATAAGGCTAGAAATCATACTATCCGCAACTGTTTATTCACTTTTTCTGTAGTGTCTAAGATCATTTATTAATCATGCACACAGGTGCGTTGCTTAGTTATTTTTATTGCTCTTCAGAGACAAAATGAGAATTTCTTGTAAAAGATTAGTCCTCCAAATACCAATAACAGCTATTAAACAGTGATTGATGTGTTTTCACCTTACAACTCGGCAAGTATTTTATAACCCCGTTGTGCTCGTACTATTTGTAGAAAGAATGACCGATCTGCAACATATTAAGGACAGTTATATAATAATGGCTAGACTATAATTTATGGACGAATCAATCAGATTTAGGGTAACAGTTATTGGATTTTGGCGTGAAATTCATTCATTCATTTAGCTGGATAGCTTTTTGGTATTATAGTTGATGTCAGTTCGTAATAAAAACACTAGATTAAATTCGTAACCTTAACCATCAACTGTAAATGATAATCCTAATTTCTTACACTGGTTTATAACCCTCATAAGTAGATGGACATTTTCGAGGTCCTTTTAGTGACGCCCAAATATCATCCATAAATTATAGTTTCACTATAATAATTAGTATTTTGCTGACAAAATGTCGAGCCAATCAGTTAAATGATCAAAACTGATAGTAAATCATAATTTAACTTATTCAAAGAAATACTGAATAGAAAGTGTAAAATTCGTGTTCAATAGAATTTTAACTTTACTAGTCTTATTATATTATTGATTATCTTTCGTAGTCTCCAGATTGAATGTTAGATATAGAATTCATATCTTAATTTATGTATTTGATGATATTGACATTAAATATTTCAGTGATAATTGATTTTCTAAACCTGAAACCTTGTAGTTTATTCAGTAGTTTGTTCAAATTCCGATTTATTTTTCACCTTGGTAACATTAACCCGCAAATGATAAAATAGTAACACCTGTTCATATTCGTCTTATCATTGCTAGCAGTGGAAACCAGGATGTGCGTTTCATCCTATTTGGGACTCGTCACCTGGATGTACCTGTATCTCAAAGTTGATGTTCACTCCGGGACTCGAACCCAGTACCATTCGCTTCAAACACCATCGTGTTACTCACTTAGCTACTGAGTCCTGATAACCACTTGCATGTGTAGTGGGGTGAATCTAAATTGCTTACAAAGCTTGTGGATTAAGGCAATATCGAGGCAATGCGCACAGTATACACATATGTCAATAACAGACTGATCAATTGCAGTCTTAAACCTCAATGGGAAGATTCAAGCAAACAACACCAAGTGAAGTTGTTACTTCATTCTTTTATAAAATGACTACAACCTTATTCAATGCCAAATACTGGATACATCAGACGGAAACATCATAGTTCTTGATACATTTATCTTCTAGTCAAATTTTTGGGAAAGAATAAAATGGGACTACATTCGGGTTCATACACCCGTCGTATAGTAGATGAAGTAAAATGTATAGTAAGTGAATTGACTGAACATTTTTGCGATTAAATATAAATGATAAATAAATACAACTTGACTGTATGTTAAGAGAATATTTTTCTTAAGTACTACCTAATTAATGTTGAGAATTCTTTATTATAAAAAGGTATATAATAGTCAATTAACCAATTATATATAACCTTTAAGCTAACCTTCGGAATAAGCAACCATTTTTTTAAAAAAGTTCCAATAATTTATCTTGTCCATAATAAGCTGCTATATGCAAAGGTAGACAACCTTTACTATCAGTCATAGATAATGTTCTCATACCGCCAGTTGTATTCAGTATAACCTGTGATATTCGTAAGCGGCCAAATTTAGCTGCCAAATGAAGTGGAGTATATTTATTCTCACCGACAACTGTTACATTTGCACCATATCGTAAAAAGAATAGACAAGTTTCTATAAGACCTAATTTAGTTGCATAATGTAACGGTGTATATCCATAATTGTCTACATCGTTCAATAATTCAGGTAACTCTTTAAGCTAGAAAAAAAAGAACATATTTATAAATTGGAAACATTACAAACTGATTTTAATGTGAAAAAGTCTTTCTTCATATATTATTTTCACTTAAAAATCTAATGTGAATTATTTGTATTTAAGTTTTTTAACAAATATATCCTATCAAGGTTAATCGTTCGCACGTGAAACCGAAGGTCCTGGGTTCCAATCCCGCAAGCGGGATCGTGGGTGCGCAATGGTGAGGAGCCCCACAATAGGACGAAACGGCCGTCCAGTACTTCCAGATTTTTAATGGTGGTTTAACACTCATCGGTTCATGATCTCAATCAAAAACTTAATAATCTACACAACCCAATACTGACAAAGTTTCTGAGTTTATCATCTATTATTGTCTAATTACTTGTTGAATATATCTTGAAGTACTAGTAAGAAGTAGTGGACCATTAAATCAGTTCTTTTGAAATTGATATAGATAAGCACTGATGCCTTTGGATGATAGTTGCATTGTGTAGGTTATTTGTCGAATGAAGTTGTAAGGTATAAACCGAAACACTTCAACCTATTTGTTGAACAGTACTATATCTAAAACCTGTACATCTCTGTCTATTTCTATATGAAGTCATTATTGTAGTAAGCTGTAGAGTCCCAATACAGGAAAAATGCTTGATTAACGAGTCACTGTTTATGATGGTTATTCGAATGATAACTGTTCATGATGGCAATTATTACCACATATTTATTATCATATTCTACTACAATTTTAATTTCATAAATAGGGAGAAATACTAAAGATATCGAAATATTTGGAAAGTGTATTTTAAAAGTGTCATTTTAATGGTGGTCTGAACATCCAGTCTTTTGGTTTAATCACAAAGCTTTGATTGTCCTTATAAACAACACATTTGGATAAACACTGCTGAAAAAAATTCCTAAGAAAAATAACCATTGCTTTATGGATTAATAATTTAGCTGGAATTGTAGTGAAGGCGAACACAGTTGAGGACAGCCGATACAGTTATTTGATATAATACGAAATCCATACTTCAATATTTCATATGCAAAATGATCATTAATTGTCTCAGACTTCATTGTTCCTTCATTTCCTTACTAATTACTTTCTGTTCTCGTTCTTTTCTCTTCGATCTTCTCAACCTGCTGTGGTGCGTGCTACTTATATTGATATAAGTAGTATATAACGTGAGTCAAAAGAACGTAATGTCTGGCAGCAGAAGATGGAGAAGATCAAGAAAAGAAGAGCGAGAAAACAATGGAATTTGTAAGAAATCGCATGAACAATGAAATGCGAGACATTAGATATGATAGAATGATATTTTGCAAATTAACGATTTACTATATAGTTTTTCTATTTTACCAAGTAATTCTGTAATTTGTCCTAAATACAATTTGGTTGTCCTCAACCGTGTTCTTCTTCACTACATTTGGTGTCGCTGCCTCCACTAAGGATGAAGATTCCGTGGCCGAAGGAGTTTGAGGACGGAGATGTGCTGAGCTTCCTGAAGGAGTTTGAGGCCGTGGCGGAGCTGGTGGGAGTGAAGGAGCCGAAGGCGAAGTTGGTGGTGCTGGGGACGCTGCTGAGAGGCAGGGCGAAGGCTGTGTATGACAGCTTGGACGGTGCTGGCGAGAAGACGACATGGGAGGCAGTCACGGAGCGGTTGGCGGCGGAGTTTGACAGCCCAGTGGACAGAGAGAACGCGCTGCAGAAGTTCCGGTTGGCGAGGTTGCCGGTCGATGGTGACCCACTGGTGCTGGCTGTGGAGCTTACCAGATTGTTACGCCGTGCACTGCCGAGTCTGGATGAGGAGTCGGAGGCACAGTTGTTGGCGTCACAGTTTATCGAGAGTGTGCCTGCCACCGTCTCCCAACAACTGAAACTGGTGAACGCAGCGCAACCGATGGATATCAGTGAACTGGCGAAGGTGACTCGTCAGCTGATGACGCGAACAGTAGCTCCAGTCGGGTGCGAAAAGCAGGAGATGAGTAATGTCGAGAAGAAGATTGAGGAGCTGGAGCGTGAGATTGCAGCAATACGAGTGAACAATAAAAGGAACGATAAATGTTACGCTTGTGGAGGGACAGGACATTGGAAGATAAACTGTCCAACAAGACGAAAACGCAGATATGTTAGACGTTACAACGATTGTTCTTTCTATCCTAGGAATCTGGGGATTGTTGCGTTAGTAGACAGAGGGGCAGTATATACGAGAGTGAACATAAATGAGCGAGATTTAGTTTGTCTGATCGATACAGGTGCAGCAGTATCGTTAATAGGCAAAGAGCAATGTAAGAGAATCAAGCCGTGTACATTAGCTGTCCACACGATAGGGGGCCATATGTTAGAGGTGTTTGGCGTATCTAACAGTATCGTAAAAGTGGGGGATGCTGAGATAAATTTTCCGTTCGTCGTAACCACAAGTTTATCGAGACCGATATTAGGAGCAGATTTCCTAAGAGAAGTAAAAGCGATAGTTGACTTAAGAAGCGGTAAGGTGGTCACGAAATATGGTTCATTGACAATACACGAAAGTAGCGAAGTTGCTGAAATAAGAGTTGCAGCGGATGTCTCGTCAAAGAAGCTAAACATTCACGAGTTATGCAAAAAGTATGCCAAACTATTCACTGGAGATGGGGAGCCGTATGGATATTGTGACAGAGTAAAGCACGAAATACCGATAAAGAACAGTCGAGTAAATATATTTGCAACACGTCGTGTCCCGGTGCATTTAGAGGCCGAGGTAAATCGTCAGGTCCAGGAAATGTTAAAAGAAGGTATAATTGAGGAAGCGGACAGTCCATATAGCTCGCCGGTACTCTTGGTAAAGAAACCAAATGGAAAGTATAGATTTTGTGTCGACTTCAGAGAATTGAATAATATAACAGACCTGAAGCCTTGTGCAATGCCAACAGTGGCGGAAACATTAGATCGGCTACAGAATGCCACGGTGTTTACAGTGCTGGATTTACGGTCAGGTTATTGGCAACTGCCTATAAAACAGAGTGATCGAAGCAAGACAGCGTTTACTGTACGTGATAAACAGTATCAATTTAAACGAATGCCGTTCGGGTTGGCGGGTGCACCGTTCACGTTCAGAAGATTAATGACACTACTGCTCAAGAATCTAGATAATGTCGAGGTATATGGCGACGATGTAGTTGTGTACAGTCAAACAGAAACAGATCACATCAAGCATGTGGAAGCGGTCTTAAAGCGAATTGACGAATTTGGACTTCGGATTAATAAGGACAAGTCGCAGATAGCGAGAAGTAGCGTCACATTGTTGGGACATAAAGTGGGAAATGGAGAAATAAAACCATTGCCGGAGAAAATTCTTACCATAAAAAATATTGCAGTACCTAATTCGAAAAGGAAGTTGAGACAGTTCCTGGGAAGAGCGGCGTTCTACAGTCGGTTTATCAAGAATTTCAACGAAATAGCAGCACCCTTATATAAGTTATTAAGCAGCACCAAGTTTACGTGGACTGAGACTGCCGAACAAACGTTCAACCGAATCAAAAACATGCTAGACGATCGCCAGATGACGCTCAGACTGCCTGAACCGGGAAGACTGTTTACAGTGGCCACAGACGCGAGTGATCATGGTATAGGTGCTGTGTTGAGTCAGGCTGATAGAGTGGTGGAATACGCGAGTCGCGTCCTCACACCTGCTGAACAGAAGTATTCAACCATCGAAAAGGAGTGTTTAGCGATCGTGTGGGCAGTGGAAAAATGGAGACCATACCTTTTAGGTAGACGATTTCACATTGAGACCGACCATAAACCCCTGCAGTGGTTGAAAACAGCAAGAGACCCCCGAGGGAAGTTGGCGCGATGGATGATACGCCTGCAAGAATACGATTTCAGTATCGGCCATGTTCCAGGAAAAGAAAACGTAATGGCAGATTACTTGTCAAGACCAGACATGGAAGCCGACCTGCCATTAACAGCATACGCGGTGAATAGTTTAGAGGGAGACCCATTAGAACTCGTCCGGCAGCAGAAAGCTGACCCTAACCTTCGAGAGGTAATCAGAGTGATAAAAGAGGGAGCAGACGTAGATAAACGAACAATGGACAAGGAGGTAATAACGCTGCTTCGGCAAAAGGACCGACTGAGAGTGAACTCATATGGAGTGCTGACCTGGCAGGACGATGATGAAAATTGGGTGGCGGTGATCCCGAAAGACTGGCGGCGCAAAGTGATACACGAGTGTCACCAGGTAGCACATACAGGCATCGCAAGAACGACGGACTTACTACGACAAAGTGCATACTGGCCGAGCATGAGAGAAGATGTGGCTGAATACGTGTTAACCTGCCAGCAGTGTCAGCTAATGAAAAGCGATCGATACACACAACCGCCATTACAGTCAATCCCAGTAACCGCAGTCGGTGATCTATGGTCGGTGGATGTGATGGGACCGTTTCCACAGACGGCGAGCGGTAACCAGTACCTGTTAGTGATGACGGAACATGCTACACGTTGGGTAGATGCCGTACCCATTGCAGACCAGCGGGCAAGGACAGTGACCGAGGTGGTAATCCGGCATATTGTAGCGTGTCACGGAATACCGAAGATGATATTAACTGACCAGGGTCCCTGTTTTGAAAGTGACGAGTTTAAAGCCCGTTTAAAGCAGTTTGGCATCAAGAGAATACGAACTACACCGTATCATCCTCAGACAAACGGGCTTACAGAGAGAAACAATCGGACGTTAAAGGAATGGTTAGCATCAAAAGGAGGAAATTGGGAGAAAGAGTTACCATTGATTTTGCTGGCACATCGTTCCTCCACACAAGGAACAACCAAGAAGTCACCTTTCTTGCTCATGTATGGCAGACAACCACGACTTCCAATGCATAATAAGACCTGGCCACAACAACAGAAGTGGACGACAACAAGGTTAAGAAAAGAGAGGAGAGAGGCAATAAGGAACGTGAAAAAGAAACAAATATCAGACACAAAGAAGGCAGAACAACAGAGGAGAACGTGGAAACCATTTGCAGTGGGGGACCTAGTAAAGTGTAGAGAACGAAAAAGTAACATAGCAGGGGGAGCAGGGTCGGGGAAGCTGGCCCCAAAATGGGAAGGACCGTATGTTATAACGGAGAGACGCGGCTCGGTCTACACTATTCGGAGAGAAGACAAGCAGAAGCGCGTAAATGCTAGTCAACTACAGAGATGGTTTCAAGATCATCATGGGTGTGAATCACGAAAAGCACCAAAGAACACAGCGGTACGGAGATCAGAAAGACTACGACAGCAACTTGTTAAAAGGGGGGACGAGTGTGGTGCGTGCTACTTATATTGATATAAGTAGTATATAACGTGAGTCAAAAGAACGTAATGTCTGGCAGCAGAAGATGGAGAAGATCAAGAAAAGAAGAGCGAGAAAACAATGGAATTTGTAAGAAATCGCATGAACAATGAAATGCGAGACATTAGATATGATAGAATGATATTTTGCAAATTAACGATTTACTATATAGTTTTTCTATTTTACCAAGTAATTCTGTAATTTGTCCTAAATACAATTTGGTTGTCCTCAACCGTGTTCTTCTTCACTACACTGCTACCAGGCATTTTATTCCTGATTGGCGTTATATACTACTTATGTCGACATCAGTGATACTTACGATTATTAAAACGCATGGAAATGCAAACAACTTAACTTTTATTTTCCATATTTTATAGTTTGTGAAATAGAATCATTTGTGGTATTTTAATAATTTTCATAATATACAGCTCTTCATAAAAAAGTGTTATTATTACACTATGTATGAAGTTGAATATTGAGTTGGAAGGGGTTTCGAAAATGAGAAAATGCTGATTATATAAAAACTAAAAACATAATTGTTTAGTACTCTATGGATTTTGAGATGAAAGTACTCAGTTGTGAAAACTACCTTCAAACTGAAATGTCACCAAAAATATATCTATATTATAGGAACAATTAGCTTGTTTCATGTTGTAGTATTCCAGGAGAATGCATCCATATACTCTTTTGAAATTGAACTACATGAACTAGGGCTATTGATGGATGCAGTTTATTTAAAACCAACTAGATTAATATTCAGTTGATAATATTTTTAACATTTCATAAATACATTCACTTGGGATTGTTTGTGTACATCTTCCTATTGTTATTTAACACTGTGATTGATCAGTCTCTTGTTGGCATATGTGCATCCTGTACGTATCGTCTAAATATTACCTTAAGTCACTAGCTTTATAAGGAAAGACGTATAGTGGCTAGCAGTGGGATTCAGGATGCACACTTCGTCCTATTTGCAACTCATCAGCTGGATGTACCTGTATTCCAGAGTTGATGTTAACTCTGAATTCGACTGCTAGTCATTATCCATCTTTTCATAAATACACTTTAAACCGGTGAACTTATAATCAAAGATACTGATACAGGAAGATTTACATTTCTAAACAAACGTGATCCAGTATGCCATAAAATTTATAATTTATAATAGTGAAAATCCTAATACGTATTTTAAAATTTAAATCGTTGACAACAAAATAAAATAACTTGTGGTTTTGTACCCTTAGTTCTTTAGTTTTTACCCTGTCGCCAATTGTTATAACTCTCGGTTTTACTTCGTCTAACGTTATAACGGTTGGGTTTCCACTTTTACACGTATGGGACATTAATTTATTTTAGACGAATATCTACACTAGATTCCCCCCCACTGTCTATTCTACAAGACTTCAACACAATTCAGATCAACAACATGTGATCAACCTAACCACAATGTAAATATATTTCCACACCAATAACCCGACACAATCCAACAACAATGAACAATCAATAATAAGCGAGTAATAATAATAATAAGGATAAGGGAATATATAACCGAACTGACACCTGTCAGACTATCTACATGTGACTAAGCAGACAACTAATCATGATCATTCACGCCCACACATCAAAAACAAAAAAAGAATAAATTACGTTAGATTAAATAAGCATAAATGATTACATAATATCAACAGTTGAGATCATGAGTCAATTGAAGCTAGACAACCATGGAAAACCTGCAAGCACTGGACGGCCGTTTCGTCCTAGTGTGGGATGCCTCAGCAGTGCGCATACATGACCCCTAACCCAGAACATATCAGTCTCGCGCCAGGCGCTTAACCAACTAGACCACTGAGCCGGTCGGCATCCAACAGTGTTAATGTCTAACTTTAACTAATCCACCAAATTGAGCGACACATCCACTATTGTCATCATTGAGTTACTACCTCACAACTGACCCGGTTGAACTCCACTGTTCGCTGCTTCTCACTACAACTCCAGGATATATCTCCTGAGGCCAGTCACTAGTGATTCATATCTGAAGGGGTTTTGTGGAGATTGTAGTAATTTCAACAATTGAGATCATGAGTCAATTGAAGCTAGACCACCATGGATGCGCATTGCTGAGGAGTCCCACGCCAGGACAAGACGGCCGTCCAGTGCTTTCAGGTTAAGCTTCAATTGACTCATGATTCCAACTATTGAAATTACTACAATCTCCACAAAACCCCCTCTGATATTACATAATAATCATAATTGAATTAAAACATAATTAATTAATCAATGAATTGAATATCTTACATTTTTTATTATTTCAATTGAATTACATATTTCATCTGAACAACTTAAAACAATTAAATGAAATAAATTTCTTTGTTTTATATCATGATGTTTAATTATAATGTTTTTATTTAATAAATAATCAATTACATTAATTGAACCTTTAATAGCAGCTGACATTATTGGTGTATAACCATTTATATCTTGTTGATTAATATTTGATCCCTATATTTAATGAATCAAAAAAATCGAAAATCAATAAGTTGTGAACAAGATCGATAAATGAATATTTTTCTTTTTTTTTCTTTTCTTTATGTTAAATTTTCTAATATTTTATCAATATATTGCTATTTGGAATTAGTTAAATAAATATTCTTAGAGTTAGATTATCATTATGTAACATAATTCATTACAATCGGTCTTGTATATCTCAAGATCATGAATTTAATATAACTGTTATACTAAAAGATATATGATCGAAATGTTTAGTATTCAGTGATTCATCCCTTTATGAATGTATTTATGATGTTCCAATAAGAAATTTAAACTTACAATCTGGTGCGCCACAATTAAGATTCCCTCTTTCTCTCTCTAATTATTTTAGTTAATTATAGTCAATCGATAAGTAACCTTGTAAGCTTCACGATAGTTTTTACTTAACAGTAATGATATATGTGAAATATATCGAAACAATTCATAATTCTTATAGGAGTACCTGGTTTTACAAATAGAGATTTTAACGGTAACAGTAATAAAACCATTGCCTTTCATTATTCACTTTGTAAGTATAAGTTGTACCAAATATTTCTCAGTATGTCAAGTTCTCTTGATCAAGTCACTAATATCTTCCTATGTATCTCTTAGAAGCTGAGACGAAATCATTACAGTTGATAACTGCCAAAATATTCATTGGATTGATTCGTTGTATGATTAATTTATACCAATGGAAATCATTTTTCAAACTGAAATGATTAGTTTAAATAGATTTTTTTCATCAAACCATCAGTTTGTGTTAATTTATCATCTTAATTTGACTCATTAAACCAATCGATACTGTCTAACAATAATGTTAAGAATGAACAAAGAAAAGTAGTATGTTAAAGAAGTACGGAAATAATTACCAAACTTATTAAATAATCTACCATATCAACAAAATTGTGTTTAGCTGCTAAATGTAGACACGTTTCTTGATTTTCATTGGAACATTGAATTAATTTGGTTTGTTCTTCGAGTGAAATGTTTTTAATGATTGCCTTTACACATTCTAGATCACCTCGTAGTGCAGCATAATGCAGTACTGTTTGACCATTTTGATCTTTAGCTAGTACATCTGGGTTATATTGAAGGCATATCTATTATTATGAATTAAAACAAGAAAGAATTATTTTCAAAATTGTGGTAATTAAATGATTTTGTGCAGAAATTTGTATAAGTTTGAAGATGGTCTTTATTACAAGATGAAGTCAATTAAAGAAGTGTAGCCAGCACTTAAGAGCTATTTCGTCCTACATATGTATTCCTTAGAAATGCAAATGACTAATTTGAGAAAAGCATAGAATCTAAGTTTGTTAGCTCTCGTAAAATACACCACACCTTAAAGCAGATGAGTCACTACTTCGTAATGTTTCTATAGCCGATGCCTGTTTGAAATGAAAACAGAATTGAAAATATTTAAAGTTCTGTACATAATTACCTAAGGTACTGGAATTTCAAAGTTACATGGAAGGCTTGTAAAGACAAGTACAATAGCGTTATATTGCTTAATTATAAATAATAACTAAACTTTACCTTGACAATATAAGGCATACCAATCTTTCCCCTAACGGACTGATAAAAAAGTGATTTGTAGGGGATTTCCTTCATGGAATGATATCAACTGGTGTATCGTTGAATTTCCAGAGTTCCAGTATAGAACTTCTTATCAGCGCTTATTCACGATTTTATTAAGGAGGTGAACTCATTACTCTAAGGCCACTGAATCAAAATCTATTGACATGTTACAGAAATGTCGTGTTTTAACGTTACAGAAATTTTACAAAATACGGTACTCAAAATCATACTTACATTCAACAATTCAATCGATCCTGAACTAGCTGCCGCATGAATTGGTGCAAGACCTTCACCATCACGTAAGTGCATCAACTGGTGTTTCTTGAACGGCTTCCTCATTCTCTGATTAAGTTTTTCCTGTCGCATTTCGAATTCAAATGAATTCGTTAAATCTTTAGATCCTGAATTAAATTTATTTGAACTTGTTGAATATTTACGACTGAATACTGAATTAGATTTATGGTTCTCTGTGTTAGTAATCATAGGATTAACAACCTGCCAAGAAGGTTCTGTTATTGTTGTCGTTGGCTCATTATGTGCTTGCATATCATATTGATTATAATCCAAAAGAATTTTAAGGCATTGTAAACTTGATTGGGAAATCGCTTCATGAATTGGATATTTTCCTAAAGCATCTGTCTGGTATATATTCCCACCAGCTTGTATCTTGTTGACAGAAAAGATGACAAAAACTGATAGTATTTAGCTATGAATTTAACGATTTCCTATAATTACTTAAGGGATTATTTTCATGAGGAATCACTTTTATATTCAAGTTATTTTGTAAGATGTATATGATCTATTCACTGCATACACAAAACATGCTACTGAGGTTTTGAAGAAAATGGGGAAACAATGTGTGGATATTCACGAAACGTTCATGGATGTTTATTGAGATAACGCGTTAGATAAGGTAGCTGTTTCTCAGTGGATCAAGGGTCTTGCTGACAACAAGAATGGTGCGAGGCCAGGATGAATTTATACCTCCTATATTGTTAAATATATTTGACATATGCTATCTCTTGTTCATTCTTATTACCGTTTTACTGCTCAGATCAATGCCGATGAACAAAACTTAGGAAATATGGTCTATAAATCTAATTATGAAAAACCTCGCACTTCAGGACTTGTATTTATGTTTGGAACAATGGGAATGGGGATGGCTAGAGTTTATCGACACAGATGGATGTACTTTTTATGTTGACAAAATCGGTTCATCTTAAATTTGATGCCCTGAAGCGTTTGTGACCATAGATTGTAAATTTATTTGAAAATTTACCCATAAAATGTGTCACCAATATTGATTTGCAGTACTGTCTGAATATTGAAATGGAGCGGAATTTAACCATGAAGTATGCTTCATATATTGTATTTTGAAGAACCTAACACAACTGAAAGAAGCTTACGTTATAACTCATATGTCGACAGAGTTTTGCTCTGCAATTCTAGGTTTTTCTCTAATTGAAACGTGTCAGGAAGGGTAGTTTCAAAGAGAAATAAATGAAACCCATATTCACCTAAGATAAAGACAGTCTAAAGTATTTGATGTGATCGAGTATAATGTAATTGCTTTTATACTTTAAAAACAAAAAATTATAGTCATAGTTCTCAGTGTTCTATAGACAACTTTTGTTCAGACTGACTCAATCGTCTGTCGATCGAAACAATCGTACAGTAGTGATTAATTTATAACATAATTGCAATATGAAAGTTAAAAAGTCGAAGTATTAAGTTTTTTGGTAAGTTCTTTGAATTTTAGACCTTTACATTTGATGTTTCACCCTGAGCAACATGAGAAGTTAATTTCAGAGTATAAAATAAACTACTGTTTGAATATTAAACTGTATTATCATACGTGTAGTGATTATTTGTTTTAAAATTTCTTACCAACATTTGTAAACATGCAGCACTATCATTGAAACAACAATAATGAACTGGTGTTGCACCCTGTTCATCAGGTGTATTGGCATCTACTGCAATTTCAAGCAGAAGCTAAAATATATTAATCAATGAAGTATGCATGTATATGCGTATTATTAGAAAATAAAACTTTTTTCATAAAATAACTTATTTAGAATATATGGAATGAGGCCAGCGGTAGGATCTAGGACTTATGTTTCATCTTGAGCGGGACTCGTCAGCTGGATGTACCTGGACCCCATGGATGAGGTTCACTCCTGGACTCAAACACAATTCAGTTTACTTCAAACACTGTTGTATTATCCACTTAGCTACTGAGTTCAGATAGTCACTCATTTGTGCAACGCATATAAAATTCAACCCAATTTGAAATGGACCAGATTGTCCTGTCGTTGATATTTTCGTCTAAAATTTGATTAGTCTTGGTTGGGATGTGCATAATCTGTACAGTTATATCCGGTAGATGAGTCCAGAATTAAATAAAACTAGCATCCTGGATTCCATTTCCAGCCAAATCCCATCAATTATACATCAGTTTTTGTCATAATGACTATATCAAGGCAATCTGGGCAGGTCAACCATATGCCAATCAGAACCGATCAAATTTTGATCAAAAATATTAACGACAAGATAATACGGACGATTCCAAATTGGATTAAACAAGTTATATGTTAAATGATACAATGCTATTTCACTGTTTTGTGGGTTAGTTTATCTATGAAAATATTCTAAATGAAATTTCATATTTAGAATTATTTTCCGGTTTAAGGATCTTCGTTATTGTCAAAAGCTTAGATTATGTTAGGAATTGCAATTTGATAAGTGTGTACTATATTTTATTCAAAGGAATAACTTTCTATGGCATACAACTGGATTGGTCATGAGACTAACATTGATTGCTTTTTTAATATAGATGCATTTAAGTAAAGTGCAAACTGTTACAAGGTTGTAATTTTTTGGTAGCTAACTGTAGGTTGTTTTTCATAGTTAAGGTTACGAATCCTGTTACTTCACTGTACAGATTTATTAGTGACATTCATTTTTATCTTTGATTCATTATTTTTCATCTCATAATTTGTAACATATTGTTACCATATAGAAGGTAGCCTCAATTCTCTCATTTATATTCATTCAGTTAGACAGTGTGTTTGACTATTGGTAGCTAGGCAGTTAGGACTTGGAGATTAGTATACTGAATAAAATATCATTTAGATTGTTTCTGTCATAATAATGTCTAGATCAATACTTATGCACGGGACACTGATAAAGTCATTTTGTAACTATAAACGTACACATTAAATGATAGTTAGTTCTATGTTCTTTTTGTCTTACAGTATTACTCTACAAAAAATTAACTATTATATGGTAGGTATTTATGTCACTTATGGATGCATCCAAAATTTACTATCTACTTACTTCTAATCCTTCTACAAAATCCGCTTCACATGCTAGATGTATAGCTTGTGCACCTAGTCGGTTTTTTGCATCCACTTTGGCGCCAAAATCAATTAACAGTTGAAGTATTTGTACGTGTTTTCTTGAGACTGCTGAGTGTATAGGTTGATTTCCCAATTCATTGATATAATTTGAATCTAATAGCAAATACAATATGTGAAAATAGTGTTATATTAATTTCAGACAGATAGAACATTCTACTTACCAGTTATCTGTTTGCTATCATAAAAATGACGTTAACAGGATGGTCACTAACGGGGTATACAGTTCGATACAACATTGCTAGAGTTTTTATATTATTATTATGTTCGAATCTAGAATATACGGTTAATTTTTGATTGCCATAAAATTGAATGATTTTTAGAATAGTGAACGGAGACTACGGTGTGGAAAAGCAATTTATTGTTCATCGCAGAATTACACAGTAATTTTATATAATATGGAAATTATACATTAAATCCATTATTTGCACACGTTCCATCACTCGTACTTTACACACTTTATGATTCTTACAATTTTATTTTTATTCAATTTGCTTTCTGCTTCACTTGTTGTTCTCTTCAATTCAATCTTCTGCTGGCAGGCATTTTACTTCAGATTACTGATACGTACTACTCAAATCTGTTAACATAAGTAGTATGCACCACACTAGTAGTAGTCGTAATGGAAATCTTAAAGTAAACTTAATAAGATGTATTTGTAATATGTTACTCTACGCTTAAAAACGAAATGTCAGCGACTTAGACTGCAGCATCATTGTCTATGGGTTCCTTAGTTTCAAGGCGCAAATATGTACGCTTTATGAGTTCCGAGAAAAGAGTATGTTGGAAGTAGGCCTATGATCTTTGTGAGATGAGATCGCTTGTTGTATGTTTGGCTTGTCCAGTCACACGGTAATTTTTTCACACTGGGCCCTATTAGATTGATATTTTCTGTGATTGAATGTAGGTAAAGGCGTAACTGAGGAGATCTGTTGTCCAGAAGAGCTAAATTTTCTACGGACCCTATTGAGAGATGTATGGCTCCGGTTGCACTGTTTCTGACGAGCAATATGGTGAAACATGTATGAATACCACAGACGATAGTTGATGCATGGCACAGTGTTAGGGATAAAGTAAGAAAAGAATTGAGATTGGGTTGGTTTAGACACTCATTTGAGCGTCCATTTTGTGTGTTCCTTACTGAATATCTTGAACACCTCAAATCTTAATGACAGTGTAGTGAACAAGAACACGAGTGGGGACAATCGAATGTATTTGACACAAAATTACAGGACTTGTTAATAAAACCTAACAATCATAAAGTAAATCCTTAATTTGCAACATGTCCATCAATTGTCTCAAAATGACTTAGACTTCATTGTTCTTGCATTTTCATACAAATTGCATTCTGCCTCCATTTTTTACTGTTCGATCCTCTTGTCTCTGTGCTGTCAGACCTTCTGTTCACGACTAACATCATATACTACTTATATCAGTATAAGTAGCACACATCACAACAGTTCATCCAAAGTATGTTCCACTGAGTCAGAAGGGCTTTCACTTTTAGATCTTCTGGGGTTCTGATTGTGTAGATATATGATGAACACACGCCCGGCCAGTTGGAGTGAAATATAAACATTTGGTGGGCTTTAGTAAAATGTATTGGTAGTCATATGAAGCCAGCGATTTTTTCAAAAACTAAACAGAAAGACGTTATGACCTTGATGTCTGGTTTTTCTATCACTCGAATTATCCGCCGATCGGAATACAACTTATACGAATCTTCACACTATGCCAACCAATGACTTTCAACCGGTGTGGGCAGTCTAGCGCCTTATTGGTCGTAGGTCCTTCTAGCCCGTCTGCTTGAGTCCAAAACACAATACCAGCTCCCGTAATATGAATCATGTATTTCAAACATACTCTGTTTATATACCAATCAAGCAGACCACATCGTATCGTTAAATAGAGGTAACATGTGTACACAAATAAGCCAAAAACTGGCTGTGAACGCGGGATGTAGTAATTAATAGACTGAACATAGATTAAGAACTGTAAATCGTATAATAATAAATTATAGGTCAAAATAAAGCTTATAATAAGGCGAATATAAATATACATAATGTAATTATTGAATAATTATACAATAGGGATATTTATAGAATGTTAGTCCATTAATAGTCCTCGGGAGTTACCTGTAATTTAATCTTCACTGGGATATAACAAAATATGACAAATTAGTAGTCACGGGCTTATTGTGAATTAAAACTAAGGTTCGTTGTTAAAAAGTTGTTTTGACCGATGATCATGGAATACTTTGTTATTTTTAAATACCTTGATTACTTTAGTAGGTTAACCTCAGGTCATGTGATTGGTTGATTTTGTTCTTATAGGTTGACAAATCGGGTCTAACTGAATAAGTCTTAATTGTAGATTAACTCACTGATGACAATGGTGGATGTGCCGCTCATTTTCGTGGATTAGTTGGAGTAAGACATTAACACCGTTGGATGCCGACTCAGTGGTCTAGGGGTTAAGCGGTCGCGCGCGAGACTGTTAGGTCCTGTGTTCGAATTCCGTGAGCAGGATCGTGGATGCGCGTTGCTGAGGAGTCCCACAATAAAACGAAACGGCCGTCTAGTGCTTCCAGGTTTCCAACGGTGGTCTAACATCAGTCGGTTCATGATCTCAATCACAAACTCAATTATTCATCTAGTTATGATATTCATTACATTTAGAGTGTTGACAAGTTGTTATCATAAACAAGATCTTTAAAAATAAGCAAATAAAGCTAAGATTATTAATATTATAAAGTAATGAGTTTACTTGTAATAGTTTGCAATTTATTAAAGATATTTAAACAATATCAAATGAAGTACTTAGTTAAATTAATGATTATAACAATTAAGTAATATAGAATAGAATCTATTCTACCTGCTCCATTATTTAATAACCATTTAACTAAATCTGTATATCCATATTCCACTGAATAATGTAATATTCTATTAGTCACATTGTCAGATGAATTTAAAGGGATTGAATCATTTTGGATTGTATAGATAATATCTTCATACTGAAGTATCAAGTATAGGAATAACAACGACAACAACAACAAAAACAAGGAAAAGAAAAAGAAAGCATTTATGAAAAAGAAGTATTTTTAAAGTAAAATAAATAGAAATTTATCGAATGTTAGCGGTTATACTCTATTCATATTTATCTATGATGTTACACTTTGTTTATTAAATAGGAATCAGTACCAATGAGATAAAAAACTATTTAGAGCCTTCAAAATTGTGCTAAGGTATGAATGTTGTAAGAACGAAAAACTGTCAGATAAATGATCTTTTCATGATACTTTAAAAGATAACTATAATTCATAATGAATATGATTACTTTCAGTGAATAATTATCAAGTAGCAATCTGTCTACTGTATGTTCAATCCGTATTGATAAAAGAGTTCTATGTATCAATTTACGTTGCAACTACCAGTCTAAGTGACTTGACAATGTTTACACTATATTTGAATTGTAGATGGTTGAAGACAAACAACAGAGAATTGTGATTTTCATCAACAAGGTGTAACTATGATCTTGAAGAAAATGACGTTTTATACGAATTTCAAACTTACATCACTAAATTGCTTATTCATAAACTTTATCATCAAATTATTCTGCCTGAAAGTAATCTCTTCAGTAAAAGTAAGAAGCTTTTGATATATTCCTTGAGATGTCGCTAGAAAATATTTACTTATGTCAAGGCGTTTACTATTAATTATGAATCAAGTAACTTAAGAATGTTATATTTCCTAAATGTTGTTTTAATATAACTCAACATTTATGTTATTAACTCATTCAATGTCAAGGCAGAAATATAATTACATTGACTTTAATAACAATTATCACTTGTCAATAAAAATAGACTAATAAAAAGGATAAATTTCAATTAATTCATTTAAACTTAACTAATCAACATCATAGTAGTGATATAATCAACTCAATTATATGAATAAAATAGATGAGAAAAGAATATCATCCATTTACAGTATATGAAGTATTTTCTATATTACTCAACGAAATCATCATAGATAACTAGACTTGTTAGAGAGTATTCAATAATTATATCGTTTTTTTTTTAAACATAAAACTAGTCCCCTCTGATTTAGTTCATTACTAGTCTGATATAAAGTTATATAATAAATGAAAACATTTAACACAAATGCATCATAAGCAAAGATGGATAGTGGCTAGCAGTGGAATCCAGGACGCGCGTTTCGTCTTGTTTGGGACTCGTCAGCTGAATGTACCTGCATCTCAGAGTTGATGTTCACTCTGGGACTCGAACTCAGTACCATTCGCTTCAAACGCCATCGCACAGTATACACATATTCCAATAACTGACTGATCAATTTCAGTCCTAAAACATCAATGGGAATATTCAAGTAAAACAATATCAAGTGAATTAAACTTCACCCCATTGCACAAGCAAGTGGCTATCAGGACTCAGTAGCTAAGTGGATAACGCGACGGCGTTTGAAGCGAGGGTACTGAGTTCGGGTCCCAGAGTGAACTTCAACTCTGAGATGCAGGTACATCCGGCTGACGAGTCCCAAATAGGACGAAACGCGCGTCCTGGATTCCACTGCTAGCCACTATCCATATTTGCTTATAATGCTTGTAAATTAAGGCAATATCGAGGCATACGCACAGTATGCACATATGCCAATAACAAACTGACCAATTTCAGTCCTAAAACATCAATGGAAGATTCAAGTAAAACAATATCAAGTGAACAAATGCATCACAGTTTGTCAAGTACAGATTTATATATTTTATGGAAAGTAGAGTCGAATCTCGTGACCTTAATGGATGTAAGAATATATTCCCGGTATGAATATTACCAATATTACAATATTCATTGATTGGGAACAGTTTAAAGTTTGATATTTAGAAAAGTCTCATTAATCAGTATTATGCTTACAAATAAATGAATTAATTAAATTCACTTGGTATTGTTCATTTGAATCTTCCCATCGATGTTTAGGACTGTAATTGATCAATCTCTTATTGGCATGTGTGTATACTGTGTGTATTGCAATGATATTGCACATATGTCAATAAGAGACTGATCAACTGAAGTCCTAAATATCAGTGGGAAGATTCGAGTGAACAATACCAAGTGAATTTAAACTTCATCCCATTGCTCAAGCAAGTGGCTGTAAGGACTTATTAGTTAAGTGCATAACGTGATGGCGTTTGAAACGAACGGTACTGGGTTCGAGTCCCGGGGTGGAAATCAACTACGAGATGCAGGCACATCCATCTGACGGGTCCGAAATTCGACGAAACGCGTGTCCTGGATTTCTCTGCTAGTCATTATCCGTCATTGTTTATAATGAATTAATTAATTTATACTTTTCAATATAATTCAATTTGTATAAATAATACCAATAAAACTATCAGAATTAACACATGCGAAAATGATGTGAACAGAGAAACAAAGAAGCCATAACAAACAACGGAAGCTATTTTCGGGGATGATATTTCACTTAATTCAAAGCTTGTAAAACGTCGACATTTAGGTTTGTCCCTAGTTTATTCTATAAAACATAAGCTTTCGTTTGATGCATGATTCATTGTCATACCCCTTTTTGTTCCAAAGTTATTGTAATTTAAACGTAATCTATCGTACTCTATTTTCTACACTAATCTCCAGTTTCGGAAAATTGTATTTTCCTAATTGTTTGTGCGTTGTGGTTATGTTAGTCATCTGTTTATTCATGTATCTTTTTATATCAATCTGAATCAGTGTAATCGGAGTTGGAATCGGAATAGGGAGTAAGTCGAGGAGTGTTCCAGTTGACGTGTTTTCTCTCTCTCGCTTGTCAACCAATCAAGTGATAGAAACTTTTTCGTCCCTTTACCCAAGGCAGGTAGTCTCGATTCGGATTCACTCGTCTCAACCCTCAAGATTAAATCAGTTAGCCTATCATTCAATGACTTAATCTAGTTAGAGACAAGTTCTCTCCTGTATATTATCTGGTAGATATATCAAGTACGTGACAAAAACGTAAGAATATACACAAATATGTAAACTTTTTCTTAGTTGTCTTCAACGAAAAAGAGACGTCAAAATTCAATAGTTTATAAGATACGAGATAAAGTTAAAAGAAATATCAGCTGGGTTTCCGCTAACCTTAGACAATTCATTATCTTTTAAATATTTCATACTTTGCAATCCATCATCACTAGTCATTTGGATTTCTGGAATATTTGAATTAACTAGGCCAGTTATTCTTCCATTCGGATCTGTCACAGAAATTGTGGTTAGTTTTGTAGAGTTTCGCTTTGAATTCAAGGATGATCTTATTTTATTTAAAAAATTGTAGAAATGATCTTGAAATTTGTAAATTTTCAATTCTTCCGGAATAATGTTCAGATAAGAATAGTTGGTTGTTTTTGATTCAATATAATCAAACCAATTGTTTTTTACTTGATGAAATCATCAATTTAATGGTAAAACTGTGCTAAAGAGAAAAGAATTCAATACAGTTTCATTTTAGATGTTATATTTGCTCATACAGTTTATGAAATTACAAAAGGACTGTCATCGCGAACTTGAAGTTTTAGTGGCCCTATATCTGACTCCAATTGGATTGTATGCTGATTGTCATCGAAATACACATGTCGGCTATCCTCGTATAAAACTACCGACTTAATCTGCCTTATTGTATAAAGGAATTAAATAAGTCGAATACGAGAATGGATTTTTGAATTCGTATATTTCGTATAATTGTTGATCGAGACAAACGATTGAAGAAACGAAGCGAAGAGAATAAATCGAAACAAAATGACACGCAGTGGGGAAGGCGTGTGAGCCAACTGTGAGTTTAGTTGGAAGACCGGCTCACCACTTTAGTGACCCTGAATCTAACCTAATTAGATCGTACGTTTGATTGGTATTGAAATATGCATATCATCAACCCTTGTATATTATTACCGACTTAGATCGCGTTAGTGAATTGATTTTCGAGTACATATATTTTGTACACTCACTGATCTGGGCTGGCAGTCAAAGGGCCGAACTAAAGAAAGCAAAGAAGAGAGAGCGAAGCAAAATGGAAGAACTCGCAGTGGAGTTGGCTTACCAGCTATCAATTACTTTATTCTAGTTTAGTATCCCCAGCTTTTGACATACATGCCACTCTGAATAAAATCAAAAATGTTAAACTCTGAATTTCTTAAACAGAACGATGATTTTATATTATTAAATCCAGTAATTTATATTTTTGACTTTATCCAACAGTTCCCCAAGTAAGATTTGTGAATCTCGTATTAGTTGACAGTGTTGTCAAGTCTTGCTAGTTCATAAATTAGAATTGGTGTTTTTAATGGTGACAAATCATTAATAAATGACTAGTTGCAATATTTATACGCTGTGAAAAACGTCCTCTTTAGTACAGTAAAATATTTAGATTAAGGACGAAGCGTCGCGTAACATAGTCACTGACTGTGTTTCTTATTTATCGTTTAAAGATTAAGAACTTCTATTTTTTAAATCAATTCCCCCACTTGTCAATTAAACTAACTAAAACTCAAATAAAACGGAATCTGTAATGATAAAATCATATTATCAATTATCTAGGTACTTCCAGGTTGGTCTAGCTTTAATCGACTGATGAATTCAACCATTAAAGTATTACAATTTCTACAAACCCTTATTCTGACAATAAACATCATGTGCTTACTAGTGACTGGCTTCAAGATGTGTTACCTGGAGTTCTAGTGAGTAGACGTGGCCAATGGAGTTCAACCGTGTCTGTTGTGAGTCAGTTACTCATTGAAAACGATGGTGGACGGTGGCACAAGATCTTGGATTGGTTGAAGTTAGACAATAATACGAGAATGGTGACAGGTTTGCAAATTTATGTGAATTCAACGAAATGGTTATAGATGGCATTATATTCGTCAACAAATGCATTAAAAAACTAAATGGGTCTCACTGGACCATACTCTAGAGAACCAGATCGATCATGTTTGCATCAGTAAAAAAATCAGACTAATGGAAGACGTGTTAACAAATAGAGAAGCTGACATAGCTTCTGATCACCGCCTGGCTATGGTCAAGATGAAACTGAAGCTGAGGAAACACTAGACAATTAAAGAAAAAGCATTACAAAGGTTCAAAACACTCAATGAATCCAAAATAACAGATTCTAAGCCTTACAAGATCTACTCGGAGTGAGAGAAGCTAATACGGTGAACAACTGGAAAGGAATTGGAGGAGCATTGATTTCGACATGCCAGAAGGTTCTGGGCCAAAAAAACACTATCATAAAGAAAGAATCGCTATCGAAACACTGCACAAGGTTCAAGAAAGCAGGAACAAGAAGGCGGCAATTAAAAACAGCCGAACAAGAACACAGAAAGTCAAGGAACAATTTGGATACACAGAAGCAAACAAGCAAAAGAAGAGTATTAGAGGTGACAGCAGAAATACGTGGAAAAACTAGCAACGATAGAGGAAAAAGCTTCAAGAGAGGGAAATATGAGACCGTATTATGACAAAACGAAGAAACTTGCAGAGAAATATGGTAAACCAGAGATACCAGTCAAGAATAAAGATGGCAGGCCAATCACTGAAATTCAACAACAGAGGAACAGATGGGTAGAATACTTCGAGGAACTCCTGAATAGACCAGCTTCATTGAATCCATCGGATATCAAAATAACACCTACGGACCTTCCAACAGATGTCACTCAACCAACGATAGAATAAATCACTATGACTGTCAGACAAATCAAGAGTAGGAAAGCAGGACCTGACAATATATCAGCCGAAGCATTAAATTTAGACATGGCAGTAATCGCAAGCATGCTTCACTTTTTATCTAGAAAGATTTGGGGGGAAGAACAAGTGTCGATGGACTGGAAAGAAGGACACCTCTTCAAGAGTCCAAAGAAAGGAGATCTAAGCAAATGTGAGAACTATAGAGGCATCACGCTACTATAGAAACCGTTACTCTAAATAAATTTCCTTGACTATGAGAAAGCGTTCGAAAGTGTAGATAAAAGGACTTTATGGGAACTCCTTCGAAACTATGGTGCATCTTAGAAGATCATCAACATCACTCGGAATTCATACGATGAACTACAGTGCAAAGTTGTGCATAGAGGATAGCTGACAAATGCATTCCGAGTGAGGAACGGAATCAGACAAGGTTGTCTACTCTCTCCGTTCCTCTTTCTTCTGATGGTCGACTGGATTATGAAGACCTCGACATCTGAGAGAAAACACAGCATACAATGAACAACTCGGAATCAATTATAAGATTTGGACTTCGTAGATGACCTAGCCCTCCTATCGCATACACACGAAAAAATGCGGATGAAGACTACTAGTGTAGCAGGAGCCTCTCTATCAGTAAGCTTCAACACACAGAACGGCAAAAACAAGATTCTGAAATGCAACACAAAAATCAATACCGTCACACCTGATGGTGGAGCTCTACAAGAGGTGGGTAAACAGGGAGGTTCTGATGCAAATGTAAAGGCAGAGATTGGCAATGCAAGAGGAGCATTCCTATTATTGGAGCAAAACTGCGAGTCAACATCAAAGTCATAATCTTTATGGAGATTTCAAGACAGTTCTATTGTACATAGCTGAAACCTAGAGGACCATCATCAAAAAGGTACAGGTATTTGTAAACAGTTATTTACAAAATAGGGGAAGACATTAGAGGTGGATAGGACTTACATGCGGAAACCACTAAACTTCATCACGAGGAAAGCTGTAACTTCGAATCTCAAAGGTAAAAGGACCGGAGGAAGACTAAGGAACATATTGCTCTGAGAATTAGAGGCAGACACGAGGAGAATGAATAGCAACTAGAAACAAGTGGAAGGGATTGCCCAGAACAGAGTTCGATGGAGGATCCTGGTGAGTAGCCTATGCTCCTCCAAGAGGCATAAGAGGCGTAAGGAAGTAAATTAAATAGATCAAACTGTTAACTGACGTGTACTCTTTATATTAATGGTTATCCTTGTTAGTTTCACAAAGTTTTCTTATAGAAGTGTTGTGAGTATTCATTGTTAATGTTAAGAACCAGTCATACTATTTATGACCTCAATCATTGATTAATTAATAAAATTTTAAATTCGTAATTTCAACTGTTAGATTACTACAACCACTACATATCCTCCATACTAATACCAATCATCTGCTCACTAGTGATTAGCTTCAAGCTATAACTTCTAGGGTCTTAGTTAGAAGCTATGACCAGTGGAGTTCAATCCAATATAATGTGTGAGACAGTTATCCACTGCAGGCAATGAACTACAAGTGATCAATAACGTGTACTGTTTGACGTTAAAAATTAACACCGTTGGGTGCCATCTGAGTGGTCTAGAGGTCAACCGTTTGGATGCGAGACCAAAGGTTTTGGGTCCAGTCCCGACGTACGGGACCATGGGTGCGCTTATGAGGGGTCTCGTACTATGACAAAATATCCGTCAAGAGATTCCAGGTTTTCAATTATGGGCTAGCTAGGATCAGTTCGTAAATTCATCTGGGACGATGCTACATTCCCCACAAATCTCCATATATTAAAAACCCTAGATCATTAATGATTATTTTTCGGCGCCACATCTTCCAAAGCAGATGATTTGATGGCAGATAATTGATTGTCTATCTTGACAATAGTATTAATTTAAATTTAGGATAATATTTAGTTTTAACTAAAAGAGCTAAACATATACAATATCATATCCTATGTTTTATTACATTCTGCACAACTTACGTTCCAGTTAATCAAATCTGTAAAATTACAAAGTAGACTATATTTTAATCTGAAAAACATGAAAACATTTTAATTTCTTTTCATTGGTTATTAAAGATTTATGCTTATGATTGGTGAATATTAAAAGCGTAAAATTATTGAATGAATGAATTAATGATTTAATTTAATGGTTGAATTCATGAGTCAATTGAAGCTAGACCACCACCGAAAAACTGGAAGCATTGGACATCAGTTTCGTCCTAGTATAGGATTCCTCAATAATGCACATCCACGACCTTGCTTCGCAAGATTCGAACCCAGGACCTACCGGTCTCGCGCGCGAACGTCTAACCTCTAGACCACTGAGCTGGCATGTTTAACTTCAACCAATCCAAGAAATTGTGCCACCGTCCACCATTGTCTTCAGTGAGGTACTGTCTCATAACAGACCCGAATGAACTCCACTGGTCACGGCTTCTTACTCGGACACCAGGAAATACCACTTAGAGACCATCACTAGTGAGCATATGGTGAATTCATGAGTAGGCCGAAACGGCCGTCCAGTGCTCCTAGCTTTTTCATGGTGATCTAGCTTCAATCAATTGATGATTCAACTATTAAATTACTATAATATCCAAAAAATCCCTCACTGATTATAACTAATGATTTAGAATTTAAAAGCTATTATTTTGACAATGATTTCTTTTTAATGTCCAAAAGTGAATTAGTTCAGAAAGAATTTGTAAATT